GGCTTGATCTTAGGATCTGTTAGTTTTCACTGAGAGCAGCTTTCAGTGAACTCTGGTGTTAGAGTGAACAATGAACTCTTGGAACCACTGCTAAGGTTTTTTTTTTTTTTTTTCACCAGAACAGCTGATCTGTCAGAGCCCGTCCTTAAAGAGACAGTGTCTCTTTCTGATCTTTAAGCTTCTCAGACTCTTTCAGATCACGCCTTGTAACTAAAATGTGGAATATTAGAGTTTTAACTGTTTTTGTCTGCTGTAAAGAGGGACTGTCTGATGCAAACATTTATTTGCTTGAAAATAATGTCTTTCTGATGAATAAAGTGTTTCTATTCTAGTTGATCACATGTATTATGATATGATAATAAAGTCTGAAGCAGAAGAGGTTAAATAAGAAACTCCTCCAAGTGATTCAGATTCTTTCCAAAAGAAGTTTGATAAAAAATTGAATATTTCTTTGCATTGAAAGGAACTTAGGTTCGTCTTTCACCTTTATGCACCTTCCAGAGATTAGGGTTACATCTTGTATATTTGGAAGTTATTTCTAAGAACTCACTTTCAACTCTTGCAGGAAAGTACTATTTTATAAACCCTTAAATTTGTACCAAAAACAAAGGCTTTATCTCTGAAAGTTTTCATCACTGAACATCCATCGATCAGGTTAGTCATGCAGAAAATGTGGGTTTAATGATTCACTGCTTCAATAAGTTGGATTTATACTTTATTGACATTTAATTAACTGATGATTTATACAAACAAGCAGGAAGAATAAGATGACTTTATTAATCAAAAAACTGTATATAATCTTTGTCTTTTTTGAGAGATAAATATAGTGTAAGTATAGAGGAGGATTTAATGAATTTAGCATTAATCAGTAAAAAAATTTTTATTTTTGTCGCGATAAATTCAATTCAGTTTATTTCTATAGCGCCTATTCACAACACTGTCGTCTCAGGGCACTTTAAAGTTCACCAGATCATCCAGTCGATTGATTTGACTCATTGACTCTTCAGCAATCCCTCACACTAAGCATGCTTGTAGCAACAGTGGAGAGGAAAAACTCCCTTTGAACAGGAAGAAACCTCCAGCAGAACCAGGCTCAGTGTGAGCGGCCATCTGCTGAGGCCCACTGGGGTTCAAGGAGACAGAAGCAAACATAGAAAAAGAAGCATAGATACAAGAGCAACTGTTCCCCGTCCAGGAAACACACAGCCAGGCAGACGAGCTCCGAGCCAGCTCCCATGTCAGAGGATGAAGAGAGCACATCCAGTTAGTCACAGTCAGAGAAACAGGACTACACTGGAAAACAGGCCAAGCTCCAACATCTAGAAACAAAGGTGTTGATGGCAGCAGCACAGCTGATATTTCTCTCCAGGATGGAGTCACAGCCAAACAGGAACAGACCAGATGAAGCTACTATGAGAAAAAGCAGAGAGAGCAGAACGTTAGAGATTGAACTAACAGATTCTGCAGAGTGGGAGAATAGAGATAGAATGAAGCAGAATGATGAAAAAGGGGTCCCTATGTCCTCCAGCAGTCTAAGCCTATAGCAGCAGAACTATAGAGATAGCTCAGGATCACTGAGCCTTGGAGCGGCCATTTTTGCCCAAATATAGTAGCCCCTCCCTCCTGCCATCTTCCAGCAGTGACGTCACGGTGCGGTAAGCCTAGCGCCATTCTCCCCGCTTTACAAGCTAAATCAATGGGAACTACTAGACACATCTGCAATCAACAACAATTATTGAAGATTTCCAGAGGACTTCACCATTGAAATTCACCAGTGCTATAGTGAAACTGACAATGCCCACATGCATGGCAGCTGGATGCTGGAATACATCGGGTAAAAGTGAAAAAAAGAGTTATTCCACCTTACTGATTCCTGATCCTCCACGGACGGGTTGGTCGTTGGATCGCCAACTTGAAGAGGGAGGATTTGCCATCGAACTTCTGGCCAGAGAAAAAACCCGTAATATGTAGCCAACATTTGGAAGAAGAATGTTTTCAAGATGACTTGGATAATAGCGCGTTGTGACAAACACCAGATACAGCACTGGGACTTGATCAACAGCCGATACCGCACCGTGACGTCACTAACCAGTAGGTGGCAGTAGTGTTCTTTGACAAACATGGATGCCTCCAGTAAAGCACATTCACATGAAAATTACTCTGAATTAAAAACACTGATCATTTATTGAACAGGATGGAATCATTTCACATTTAAAGAACTTTCAGAAGTTTGAATTTAACAGACTTTTCCTTTAAAATCCTCCACTGTACCTTGAAGCTGGAATTTATTGGTATCAGGTTTGAAAACTTGTCCACAGTTCCTGGAGTCAAACATGTGTCTCTGACCTGCCAGCCGTCAGGTCAACCCTCAGCTGTCCACCGATATCTATGGAAGACCAACAGTTATGTGAGGAGAGACATGAGCAAACTGCTGGTTTGAATGAAGCTGGGGGGGGTTGCCCAGAATAAAACGGTCATTATATCCACTCACCTTCCTCTGACCAGAACACAGAAGAACATCAGGTGCCTTAACTGTCTCCCACTTAATTATGTTAAAACCACAATAATCAATGGGTTTTATTGGGAATTTGATGCCATAGATTAAAAACAAGGGAAGAAAATAGAGTCTATCTGTTTGATTTAATGTTAGTATGGAAACATTTGTTCTGGGAAGACCTTTGAGAGAAGATGAAACAGCATGATGAAGACCATGAGCGTTTATCAGAGAACCAGCCAATAGATCCGGTGTTACACTAGAGCTGCAAGAAATACTGTAAAAGAAAACAAGTCATTTTTGTATTTTGCCATCAAGGAATATGAGACACGGCACATTTTGAATACAGGTTGCCAGTTAGATGAGAACAATAATGATATTAATAATAATGCATTTAATTTATGAGGCACTTTACAAAAAAAATGCCGTGCTCTCTTCATCCTCTGACATGGGAGCTGGCTCGGAGCTCGTCTGCCTGGCTGTGTGTTTCCTGGACGGGGCCGCCTGTGGAGCTGGTTGACAGTTGCCTTTTGTATCTATGCTTCTTTTTCTATGTCTGCTTCTGTCTCCTTGAACCCCAGTCGGCCTCAGCAGATGGCCGCTCACACTGAGCCTGGTTCTGCTGGAGGTTTCTTCCTGTTCAAAGGGAGTTTTTCCTCTCCACTGTCGCTACAGGCATGCTTAGTGTGAGGGATTGCTGAAGAGTCAATGAGTCGATTAAATCAGCTGGTTTTCCTCAGATAGAAACATTTGAATCAATCTGACTGGATGATCTGGTGAACTGGAAAGTGCCTTGAGATGACATGATGTGAATTGGAGCTATAGAAATAAACTGAATAGAATTAAATTGCTACAAAGAAAGAAATCAAACAGATAAGAGGAAACAGCATCAATTAACAATTTAAATAAAACACTTAAAACACAAAATTAAGATCCTATAAAATATAATTGATGAGCCTTAGTAAAACAAAACAGAACAAAACTGATCTTTGTTGTCTTCATTCAAAACATCATAAGTGAAGGAAAACAACTCCGGAGTGAAACATGGTCTTGGCAGCATGATGCTGGGTTTCTTTAGCAGATAGGGAAGCAGTTCAGAGCAAAATAAGATGATTGGTGTTAAATTGTTAAATACACAAAGATCATAAAAGAAATACTGCTAGAGGGGGGAACAGCCGGATGTGAGGGTCTAGTCAAAGTTAAAATCTAAATCCTGTTAAGATTAGAAAAGAAAAGCTCTGTTCTTAGATGCTCTCTGACTTAGACTGAGGTATAATTTTCTTAAAATAAGACGCAGCTTATCTCTGGATTTCTGCCTCTGTTAGACACAACCTCATTAAGACTTCTGGTAAAACTAGATTTCTAATTCTATAAACACTTTCTATCACTTACAAAGTTTGTACTGTTTTGTTGTTGTTGTTGATCTATCACCAAAAGTCACAACAATAAACACCAAAGTCTGGAGTTCCCAGAGACAAAATGCAAAAAAAAAACATTATTAACTCTTTATCCATAACCAACCTTTATTGTCATGTTGCTTATTCAAATAAAGGTTTTATCACACATGGTTTATTTTAGCATCAACTAATATTTATTTCTAGATCTTTACATTTCGAGCAGGATTATTTTGGGGTTTTTATCGGCTTGCACATGTGCAGCAGGTGGCGTCTCAGAGAGCAGAAGCAGCCTGTGCAGCATTAGCTCTGCTCCTCCACATTCAGCCATTCATCCCCAGCAAAGCTTCTAATCAGGAGCTTAACATGTGTGTCTTTCTAATCTTTTTACTATTATCTCTATTCTATATGTATTTATATTTTGTTGGAGACTGGATTCAAGATTTATTATTTATGTATTATTTTGTCATTTTTTATTTCTAAGCCTTAAACAATTTTATCTTAATTTAGTTTTTTACTTTCATGCTCAGGATGAAGTTTTTAGGGAAATCATGTGACAGAAATTCTATCTATCTATCTATCTATCTATCTATCTATCTATCTATCTATCGAAATAGATCTATCTAGATCGAGCCATCTGTCTATCAGAATTGATCTATCTATATAGATAGATCTATCAATAGAAATAGATCTATCTATATGGATGTATCTGTCTATCTATATAGATCTATCTATATCTATAGATAGATCTATATAGAAATAGATCTATCAAAAGAAATACATCTATCTATTTATCTATAGATAGATCTGTCTATCTATAGATCTATATAGATAGATATATAAAGATCTATCTATATATATCTATCTATCTATAGATATAGATAGGTCTATAAAGATCTATCTATATAGATCTATCTATATAGATTATATAGATCTATCTATATGGATTTTTATAGATCTATCCATATAGATCTATCTGTCTGGCTGCAGGTTGTGGGAAAAACAAGCCTCCCCCCTCCTCCCCCCTGGTGAGGGAGGGTTCAGTGGGGCTGATCTGAGCGCCGCCCTCCACTAAACCCATGAACTTTGTCACATTTCTTTCTGTTTTCGGAGGGAGGCTCCAGCCGCTCTGCCTGCCTGCCTGCCTGCCTGCCTGCCTGCAGCCATGTCCATGTGGCTGACCGCTGCGCTCGGCCTGGCCCTCCTCTCCTATGCGTACATCAGGACTTTCCTCCCGTATTTCTGGGATGACTGCGTCTCTATGCTGAGGAGCCTCAAGCTGAGCCTCAGGCTGATCAGCTACAAGAAGCGCAAACCCTTCTACAGCATCCTGGAGTGTTTCCTGGACGCAGCGAGGAGACACCCCACCAAGGTCTTCATCCACTTCGAGGGGCGCTCCTTCTCCTACGCACAGGTGGACAGGCAGAGCAACCAGGTGGCCAGAGCCCTGCAGGCCGAAGCCCGGCTGAAGGAGGGGGACACGGTGGCTCTGTTTCTGCCAAACGAGCCCAACTTCGTGTTGTCTTGGCTCGGTTTGGCCAAGCTGGGCTGCCCGGCCTCTCTGCTCAACTTCAACATCAGATCCAAGTCCCTGCTGCACTGCTTCTCCTGCTGCGGGGCCAAAGTGCTGCTCACCTCTCCAGGTCAGATTATTAAAACATGTAATCAAACTATGCAGCTGCACAGCAGGGTCTATCAGCCACTATCTAATTCACTCACAGGCTTGCAGGCAGCAATCAAAGTCCACTAATCAGTCACTGATAGGTTCATGTTGCGCAAATATGGATTCCTGCTGCCAGACTTTTACGCACGTCCGAGGAAACGATCCTTTAAAATGAAGGAACATATTGTTCCTTAGAAACACAATCAGGCATTGCTTTACCAGTTTCAGCATGTTAACACCATGGTGGTTTGTCTTTAAAAACAAGGGAAACTCAGAGCTGCAACACTTTAAACAACTCAAGCCTTTCTGTAAAATCATTCACTCCCTTTGGATAAAACGGTTTTTACTCAGCTTTGATTTTATTTTATTGTAATTGGTTTAACTAAAATAAGATCAATCATTCCAGTTTAATACGCCTTTGGTGACATCACATCTGGAATATCAGTTTTTTTTTCTTTTTATTTGTTTGATTTTCCTCTTAGACTTAGACAAACATAACAAAATGCCATCAAGTGTGTCTCAGCCCCCCCGCTTCAGTGTCCACCATATTGGATCAGTCCATTTGCTGCACATGTTCAGAAAGGTCCAAACAGACAGCAGCAAACCATTTGAAAACAAACCATGCAAAGAGCAGTGTTGCCAACTTAGCGCTTTAGTCGCTATATTTAGCCACTTTTCAGACCCCTCTAGCACTTTGATTTCTAAAAAGCTCCTAGCGCCAAATCTAGAGACTTTTTTCTGCTACTGGAGACTTTGGAGACAACATCTTAAAGCAGCGAACTCTGCTCTCCAGAGCGAGTAGATTGGTAACCCCGCCTCCTGCTCTCCTCTATCAGAGGGCCCCCTGCCTGTCTTTGCATAGGGCTCCACATTTTCTAAATCTGGCTCTGATCGCAACGTTTACTTCAAATACATGCAGTGGTATTTAAGTGGCACTATTAACAACTAGGGATTTGTAGAAAAAAGTAATGTAATAATAAAATGGATAACCTGTTCATTGTCCTTTGGATTTCAAACTAAGTGATCAACAACGATTGGCTTATCTCTTAACGAAACTCCTTGAAAGGACGGGATGATTGGATCTAAACACACTGGAAGGACTAGTTCTCATTTCCCAAACTTTTCCATAAGGTTGTTATATAAATAAACAGGTGATATTTTATTGAAGTTGCTCAACCTTTTCCTTAGAACTGCTGTCTTCACCCAGTACTCCCACTGATAATAGTCTCGAACCCATTTCTACCATTTATTCCCTCCATCAGGGAAGAAGTAAGAATAAAATCCCATCGCTCTGCTGCCAGACGCTTCTAGTAAAGCAGAATTAGTTCAGACTGAATGCAGAGTGAGCAGGAAAGCATTTATTCATCTTATGGGTGGTGCTGAAAGCAAGCGGATGCTTGGAATTATGCAGATAGATATAATAAGAAGAAAATGTGCTCTCACCAGGGTTTGATTAAAGTTGTTCAGATATTTGTGAAACTATTAGACAGGAAGGTGCATTAAAAGTTTCAATTCAATTCAGTTTATTTCTATAGCTCCAATTCACATCATGTCATCTCAGGTCACTTTCCAGTTCACCAGATCATCCAGTCAGATTGATTCAAAGTTTTCTTTCTAAGGGAAACCAGCTGATTGCATCAACTCATTGACTCTTCAGCAATCCCTCACACTAAGCATGCTTGTAGCGACAGTGGAGAGGAAAAACTCCCTTTGAACAGGAAGAAACCTCCAGCAGAACCAGGCTCAGTGTGAGCGGCCATCTGCTGAGGCCCACTGGGGTTCAAGGAGACAGAAGCAGACATAGAAAAAGAAGCATAGATACAAAAGGCAACTGTCAACCAGCTCCACAGGCGGCCCTGTCCAGGAAACACACAGCCAGGCAGACGAGCTCCGAGCCAGCTCCCATGTCAGAGGATGAAGAGAGCACATCCAGTTAGTCACAGTCAGAGAAACAGGACTACACTGGAAAACAGGCCAAGCTCCAACATCTAGAAACAAAGGTGTTGATGGCAGCAGCACAGCTGATATTTCTCTCCAGGATGGAGTCACAGCCAAACAGGAACAGACCAGATGAAGCTACTATGAGAAAAAGCAGAGAGAGCAGAACGTTAGAGATTGAACTAACAGATTCTGCAGAGTGGGAGAATAGAGATAGAATGAAGCAGAATGATGAAAAAGGGGTCCCTATGTCCTCCAGCAGTCTAAGCCTATAGCAGCAGAACTATAGAGATAGCTCAGGATAACCTGAGCCACTCTAACTAGAAGCTTTATCAAAAAGGAAAGTTTTAAGCCTAGCCTTAAAAGTAGGCAGGGTGTCTGCCTCACGGACTAAAACTGGTAGTTGGTTCCACAGGAGAGGAGCCTGATGACTAAAAGATCTGCCTCCCATTCTACTTTTAGAAATTCTAGGAACCACTAGTAAACCTGCAGATTGAGAGCGAAGTGCTCTGTTAGGAACATAAGGAACAATCAGATCTCTGATATCAGATGGAGCTTGGCCATTTAAGGCTTTATATTATTAAATGATTCTTCTTCTTCTTTCATGTTTGTTGGGTCAAATTTACTTTGATTTTAAAGTTTTAATCTTTCCTATTTATGGTTATTACTAAGTTATATCGGCTGTTTTGTAATTAAGATCCACATCTCAGGAAAACAAAGATGACGGTTGTTTATTTTCACAATGACTCCATTAAACTTTTCTTGCTTTTTTTTGTTTGTTTTCATCATGACTGCCTCGCCACTATTTTAGGCTGAAATCAGCAGTTAAAGCCAAAATTATTCATACCTCTGGCATGTTTTTTTTCTTCCCAACATCTTTCTTATGACTTGAAGACGTATACATTTGTTTTGTTTTTATTGTGCATCTTTTTTTCAAACAAGCCTATTCCTTTAAGGTCAGTTTTTCAATCACTGGAAAAAAAATCTAATCTAGATAAGTATTTTTTTCTTAAAATGGGTGCATTTGTTCTTGGATTGAGGAGGTAAAAGTGACATTTTGCCAATGGAACGAGACAATTTACGTTTAAAATAAGAAAACACACTTGCATTGTCTCATTTCAAGTGCATTTTATCTAATGATCTTATTTTAAGAGTAAAAATATTAACTCCATTTGCAAACCACCTCATTTATCTACTCAAATTAAGGGTAAATACACTCAATTTAAGAAATTTTTACTTTTTTTAGATAATTTTTCCAGTGATCGTGAAATAAATGTCTAATTTTCAGAGGTTGTGATTACTTTAGTCTGGGTAGGGATGAGAGGGTTTAATAAAGAAAAGTTGAAAGCAGCGTTGGATAAACGTCCAGAACCACGTTGTTGTGTTCCTCAGGTGGACTCTGGTAACACGACCCAGGCCTGCATGTGCAGCGTTACGTAACGCCGCTCTCTGACACCAGCTGAATCCTTTCTTTGTGCGCAGAGCTGCTGGATGCTGTGAAGGAGGTGCTGCCGACGCTCAGAGAGCAGGGAATCCGCGTGTTCCTCCTGTCTGACAGCTGCAGCATTGAAGGCATCACCGCTTTATCTGACAAGATAGCTGAAGCCTCAGACGAGCCGCTGTCCCCTGAGCTGAGGGCCAACATTCACATTCGGAGTACGGCTCTCTACATCTACACGTCCGGCACCACAGGTACTCACTGCTTCAGCTGCAAAACACCTGAGGCAGATAAAAACCCCTCCCTTTGTTTGGTCTGATGGAAATATAAGCTAATTACCTCAGCACGCATCATCGCTCTCTGCGTCGGTATATTTAGTGATGCTCTGTGTTTCCTTACCCAGGAAACCATTAACCCTTTATAGGGCGCTCAGTGAAATATTTTGAAAAATCTAAATTCCAAGCCAATAGTTTTATTGGAATCCAGTTCAAGACCTTATTATCTTTGTAACATTCAAAAATATGGATATTTTGATAGAAAAATTAATGCCAATGTAATAACAAGAAACGCCAACTTGCCCGAATATATTAGGAAAAATAACAAAAGTGCTTCTAGAACAAATTCATAAAAAAAAATTCTCTGAAAGTGAAAGAAACACATTTTTATTTGGTCCAACTTAACCTTAGAGGCATTAATGCTGATACTGGCACTTACATTTTTTAGTTTATAAAGCTAAATATAAATGTAAACTAGGCTTATTAATTATTGAACTTTTCAATGAACTTTTTACCTTTTTTTCCAACTTAATCTACAGTAGGTAACGTAGCGACTTCGATCCACCAACAGAGCCGCTGCTGGCTGAGAAGTTTCTCCAAGAAGCCATCCTGAGCCGCACTTGCATTTTCTTTCTTATTTATATTTCAAAAAGTTTCAAATGACAATGAGAACAGTGATGATGATGACGGTCAACAGAAAAGTTTGACAGAAACCCCCTCACCCAACTCCCTGTTGGGTGCACTCCTTTCTTCTAAAATAACAAGGGACCCCCCTAAGCAATTCCCCCAGCTGTGGGAAGATCTGAACACCTGTGCCACCAAAATAATAAACAAAATATAAACCTTAACTTTGGCTCTTACAGGTAATAAATCATTCAAGGGCTCATCTAATTGGTCAAATGCCAAAATAAGATGTGAAGCCATGTAGCAGCATCTTTGCTGAATGAATGGATATAGATCTAGTGATTCTAGACCTCACTGAGGGACGGGGGGAGTCCATTTGTAAGGGGATCAAAAACGGTACCTCGCCCTATAAAGAGTTAAGTGGTTTCTTTGCTAAAAAAACAAACGTAACCAAATGCAACTTTTCATTTTATTTTGAAATAGAAATCGCATTTTTGCCCCCAGTGGCTACAGTAGATCGCTCGCTGTCTGAGGCGAGTTTGGATGCTTTTACGCCCGGGACTTTTACCTTCATCCAGAATAATCCGTGTATCATTCGTTCTTTCTATTTTCAATTGCCAATCAAAAAACAAAAAATAAAAAATTGACTGGTTATTTTGTTATTTGTTTTTTATGGTTAAACCAAAAACGAAAAAAGGATTTGTTTTTCATATATCAATTCTAAGCTCAGATCAAGAATACGAAATGGAAAAACGGACAGCAACGCAGAATTTGTTTTTAATATTTAATCGGTACAGTTTACGTGACCCGGAAATAGCTCTTTGCGCAGCAGTTGGGGTAATGAAGTGGCTACCATGGCGACGCTAGAACCACACACTATGTTGATCGAGAAGCTGTTTGTTGTTGCTAGTTAAAAGTACAGTGCACAGAAAAGTTTCAAGAAAAAAGTTATACCTGGAAAATCCTGCAAATTTTCTCCGTTGTCATGTCCTCCTCAAGAGTCACACGCTTGGATCCTCGAAATAAAACGTAACTGTCCATGGCTGATAGGTCCGACTGCCTTATCTGGTGCAGTTTGATCGAACGTGGTGGGAGTAAGCCAATAGTTTTTTTAGCTAACGCTCCACCAAACTTCCGGGTCATGTAAACTGTACCGATTAAATATTAAAATCAAATTCTGCGTTGCTGTCCGTTTTTCCATTTCGTATTCTTGATCTGAGCTTAGAATTGAAATATGAAAAACCAATCCTTTTTTCGTTTTTGGTTTAACGATAAAAAACAAAATAACCAGTCAATTTTTGATTTTTTGTTTTTTGATTGACAATTGAAAATAGAAAGAACGAATGATACACGGATTCAGAATGAATGTCATCGACTAATTCTGGAGCTTAATGAAAGAACAGTTAGGAAAATTCAAACTTTGACAAAATCTGCTTTTATTTTTCAATCGATGCTAAAAGGAAAATATCATCAGTTTATTAAAGGGCTACGACTTTAAATTAAAACGTGCTTTAAAAGTTACCGCTGCACCGCAGCTAAAAAATACAAATTAATCTTTTTCAAATACAGAAATCTTTTATTATGTCTGAAGTAATGGAAAAAGATTATACTTTAAAATCAAGAATAATTATTTAGTGAGTGAAAAAAAATCCAGTGTTCAGTTCAATTCAGTTTATTTCTATAGCTCCAATTCACATCATGTCATCTCAGGTCACTTTCCAGTTCACCAGATCATCCAGTCAGATTGATTCAAAGTTTTCTAAGGAAAACCAGCTGATTGCATCGACTCATTGACTCTTCAGCAATCCCTCACACTAAGCATGCTTGTAGCGACAGTGGAGAGGAAAAACTCCCTTTGAACAGGAAGAAACCTCCAGCAGAACCAGGCTCAGTGTGAGCGGCCATCTGCTGAGGCCCACTGGGGTTCAAGGAGACAGAAGCAGACATAGAAAAAGAAGCATAGATACAAAATGCAACTGCAAAAGTTTCCCCGTCCAGGAAACACACAGCCAGGCAGACGAGCTCCGAGCCAGCTCCCATGTCAGAGGATGAAGAGAGCACATCCAGTTAGTAGGGGTGTAAATAATAATCGTTTTGTATCGATGCATCGATACAAAAGCCGACGATCCGATGCATCGATACGTCCGCAAGATAATCGATTCATGTTTTTTTTTTTCCTCCGGTCTATTTTTATCCATTTGCTCCTGGGCGTAATTCTACCTCCCGTGCTGCCGTGGCGCTAAAAAAATTCATAACGATATTACAGCTTTCATTGATTTATTTCAAACTTGAAACTTTGTTTAGCCTGTAAGGTGTAAAAAACATAATAATAATTTTTTTTTAACCAATTAATCGATTAATCGAATCGAATCGAATCGTGGTGTATTCTTGAGTATCGAAAATAATCGAATCGTTGGGTCAGGAAATCGATACTGAATCGAATCGCCATGATGGATGTGATTTACACCCCTACCAGTTAGTCACAGTCAGAGAAACAGGACTACACTGGAAAACAGGCCAAGCTCCAACATCTAGAAACAAAGGTGTTGATGGCAGCAGCACAGCTGCACATTGTTAAGGCAAATGTTTTCTTTTTCTATACTTAAAAAAGTCCAAAGTTGAACAATTATTGCCCCCCTAACAAAATGTTAGACATCTTTTATTATAAAATGTATTCCTTTAAGTTGACCTTGGTCTCTGTGTTTTGAGCTGCAGCCATGAACCAGGTTTGAATTCTGGTTCTGGACGGGCATTAAGTGTAAACGCTCTGCAGACTAAGCACACAGACTTAGTAAAACATTTGTTTGGTAATCTGTAACTTCCTCTTTTTTTGGGATAAAGTTCTGACTTCAGATGGATCATTTTTAACTTTTATTTATAGAAAAGAAAAAGAACGAGCTGTATTTTCAGGGTCACCAGTTTTTCACAAACATAAACATGTGTTTGTAACTCTTCTGGGACTTTAAAAGAGAAATTTTTGTTAAACAGAATGGCGGATTCGATAGATGGATCTGGTGCTAAAGTAAGGTAGAATATGTGAATCCCTGCCTGCTTTTAAATGAGGTTGAGGATCTGAAAGATGTCTCTTTTTGGAAGATAACTTTTTTCAACAGGACCTAAAATACCAGAAAAATAGTAAATTATAATCATGTTAGCTTTTGCTGGAAGATGTCAATGGATCCTAAACAGGAGGACATTTTACTGTCCAGCAATGCTTCAGCAGAGCTTCCTGCCCTCCTTCCTATCTTTACTTTCTTCCTCAAGCCCCCCCATCTCGAACTAACTTAAACCTGAACCTGAATGATGTGCTGGAACCGCAGAGCTTTTCTCCTAAACCAGCCTGGCTCAGACTAACGCCTGCAGCCGCTTGCTGGACGCCCACAACTGATTTGCAGGCTGCAGCTCTTTACCGTTGCAGATGTTTTGTTGTTCGTGGTCCACTGCATCAGCTGCTGTGAACACGGATAACTTACGGCTCTTTAGCTGCTAAATCCTCCCATGTGTTTACCAGCAGGCCTCTGAATTCACCCGCTGGCTGTTTGATTGAGCAGGTAGGATGATGCAGACCTGGACGGGTGAATGAAGAGGCAGAGAGCGAGATTTTACAGCCTGTTAAACAGAGAAATCAGACGGGATTTATCTGTAGTTCTAAGCAGGGTGGGGTGGGGGGGGGGTTACCATTAGGCAATAATAGGCAGTTGCGCAGGGCCCCAAGTTCCTGGGGGCCTCATAAAATTGTTTACATGTATAGTTAATACAGTATTCCTTATATGTGCACATTAATTATGTTTTGATAAAATTCCTTTGGCTAAAATGCCATCAGAACGCCGATAATATTAAGTGTGTCTCAGCCCCCCCCTTCAGTGTCCACCATATTGGATCAGTCCATTTGCTGCACATGTTCAGAAAGGTCCAAACAGACAGCAGCAAACCATTTGAAAACAAACCATGCAAAGAGCAGTGTTGCCAACTTAGCGCTTTAGTCGCTATATTTAGCCACTTTTCAGACCCCTCTAGCACTTTGATTTCTAAAAAGCTCCTAGCGCCAAATCTAGAGACTTTTTTCTGCTACTGGAGACTTTGGAGACAACATCTAAAAGCAGCGAACTCTGCTCTCCAGAGCGAGTAGATTGGTAACCCCGCCTCCTGCTCTCCTCTATCTTGTCTGCTGTCATGATTCATGCAGCTATTATTTCATCCAAATGAAAAATGGAGAACAGATAAGCAGATCATGGCTTGTCTACAGTGAAAAGAAGGACTGGGTTATTTACTTTGGCCTTTTTGGAAACACAGGAAGGAGCAATCAGCTAAGTGAGCTTAGTGCTTGGAAAAAATCTTTCATTCCTTTAGAGACAGCATGAAAAGTCAGCTGAGTACAAAACATAGAGAGGAAAACAAGAAGAAAAGGGACAAGAAGAGAGGGACACAACCTAGAACAGATAATGGATGTCTATTCTATTAACATTTCTCTATCTGGAGAATGGGGCTGTTTATGTGTTGCCTTCTCCATTCAAAGGGCCCCCTGCCTGTCTTTGCCCAGGGCCCCAAATTTCCTAAATCCACCCCTGTTTCTATGCATCAATGGACGCAGCTTCTTGTTCAGAGGATAAGAACAGATCTTTATAACGCGTTTCACTCTGACTGTTAAAGGTTTGCCTAAAGCAGCCGTCGTCACCCATGAGAGGGTGTGGGCGGCCTCCTTCGTCCAGGCGGCGTCTGGAACCACTGCAGAGGACATCTTCTATCTCAACCTGCCTCTGTATCACAGCGCTGGCTTCCTCATCGGGCTGGCCGGAGGAATCGAGAGAGGTAAGGACTCAAGAGAAGCGCCGGAAGCTTCAGGCTTGGACGACTCCTGATCTGCTGGTATTTTTCCAGGTCTGACCATCGTGCTGAAGAGAAAGTTTTCCGCCTCTCAGTTCTGGGACGACTGCAGGAAGTATAACGTGACGGTGATGCAGTACATCGGCGAGACGCTGCGTTATCTCTGCAACATGCCCAAGGTGAGACTTTTTTTAACCCTTTCTGGGAAGCTTCTGCACTTCTCCACTTCCAATTCTTTTGCTTGTGCAGAAAGAGAATGAGAAGAACCACAAAGTTCGAATCGCCATCGGGAACGGAGTCCGAGCCGATGTTTGGAGGGAGTTCCTGAATCGATTCGGGGACATTAAGGTCAGAGAGCTGTATGCCGCCACCGAGGGCAACATCGGCTTCATCAACTACACCTCAAAGATCGGAGCCGTGGGACGGATCAATTTCCTGCACAGGGTAAGAGCAGTTCGCTCAAAACGGGGAAAAATAATCATGTTTCCAGCATCATGATCTCAGAATGAAATCTTGTTGTAGAGATGAACTGGTTATGCTTCCTTTAAATCGCGTGACAGACTGTTATTTGACAGCATTTAGTGTTTTACTTCTGAACAGCTCCGCTCCACTGACTGCTCTCTTCCTCCCAGTTTATCTTTCCCTGCATGTTGATCAAGTTTGATGTTGAGAAGGAGGAACCGATCAGAAACTCAGAGGGTTTGTGCATCAAAGCAGAAATCGGTGAGTGACCCAGCCTCTGATGTAAACACAGATTACTCCCCAGATTTCACCTCATTCTGTGTGGAATATCAGCACAAAGTAGCTCATGATTGTAAAGAAGAATGAAACTCAAACCAGATCTTAGTTCTTTCTTTTTAAACCAAATTACATGCAAATTATTTGGTTTTTATCAAGATTTAAAAGAACTATATAAGTGTTAGATAATTCACTTGGTATAAGACATTATTTTATTATTTCAAGTGTTCAGTATGCTTAGATTTATAATTCTTAAATCAATCTTGTCGAGTAGAAAGATCTTGCAGCACAGACGGATCATTTCGCCTGGTTTCAGCAGCGATTCCCTGAGATTTAGTTTTGTTTTTCTTGATTCTAGAAACCCATTTTCCCCTGATTTGATTATTTTTAAAATCATGAAAAACTTTCAAGTTTTGAAATCACAGATCGGTGGGGGGGGGATTTACCATTAGGCAATACTAGGCAGTTGCCTAGGGCCTCGAGTTGCTGGGGACCCCATAAAACTCCTTTTAAATGTATAGTTAATACAACCAAGGGCGTAGGTTTGATTTCAACTTTGGTAGGGACACTATTCTTCAGTTTCATTGGTTCTTTGCAAAAATATGCATGCTCTTTTTTATGCTTAATGTGAGCTTCAGGGCTCATTTTGTTTAAAGAGAACAGCAGCATTTCTTGCTACATTAATACAAATCTTATAAGCACTACATGCACTAGATGCTGTTTATCAATATTTAAAGCATAACTGGCTCTGATGAATGTGGAATTAGGACTTTTTCCACTTTGAAAAGGATTGCATTTAAATTTACCTGCGACTAAGACAGTGTCTGTTTAACCAAATATAGTCTATAATATGTGGATTTATCCTGTGTTTTCTTCTGAAGATATAGAATTGTGCAGAGGTAAACAGAGGTAAACCCCACTCTTATTTTTTTTTTAATCTAATATGCTCTCTCTGGATCATGCAAAATAATACATTCAAGAGACGGCAAAGAAATGTATTGTATTTACATGTGCACTGGAACTAGAAGAGGAACTGACACTGAGCATTTAAAATATTAATATTAGAAGACATCATGTACATCTGGGCTGTAGTTACTCTGTGTAGCTAATTTCATGTATTTTATCTATGGCTGAAACAATTAATCATATTAACAAATTATTTAGATAATCGTGAACTAATTTAGTAAGTGATTAATCGTTCACTGGAATATAGGGCCACTAAAATGTGCCTTTAGCCGACAGAGCGACTCACTTAGAGCAGGAATTATACCAAGATTGTAAAAAATATGTAAACATTTTGCATTTAAGAAGTAAAAAAAAAATTGTTTTTGTCTGTTAATATCCAGAACTCCTCCAAAGGAAACGTTTAAACGTTTCTGTTTCACCTGGTTTCATTTCATAAAAGATCTTCTTTAAGGAGCCTTTGGCTATCTGATTAAAAGATAAAATAAAAGAAATCATAACGTTGTTAACTTACATTTCTCAAGTTCCACAAATCAAAAAACTCTCTCCTGCTTCTTTACAGAACTCAAATCAGAAGCTTTCGCCTGTTTTAGCGTAGATAATATTTTTTTTTAATTTGGACTAGTTTCGTAGCCCAATATTAATTTATTTTAGCGTCTTTTTTTTTCACGCTCCAAGCACCCGCGCGCGCGCACATACAGACTAGAAAACACACAATCAGAAAGAGAGAAGGCGGAACTTAAGGCAGAATAATCAGAGTTAAACCGCGCAGCACAGTTGATGCGCTGCTATGTGAAAGGGACAGGAAAGAGCAGGCAGCTGCAGCTACCAGGCAGAGAAGCTGCGAGAGGAAAAGAAGCGGCTGCTGTATAGTAAATTATAAACATGTTGTTTACATCCAATTATTGGTAGGGACAAATAGGTCCTTCCAAAATTTTGGTAGGGACATGTCCCTATGGTCCCTGTGCAAACCTACGCCCATGAATACAACTATTCCTTATTTGTGATGTCATCAGTGCGCTTCTCTTCCAATTAACTCGGATTTATTCTGCGTGCTCCTGTTCTCCCCAAGTCCAGACTTTTCTGTGTTCTTTTCAAGAACACACTTGGCGAGAACACGAGTCCGTACTCGCGTTCTAGTGGATTGAGAAACGGCCAAAGACGGGTATGGGGCATTGCAGGCTAATAAAGAAAAAAAACGACCCCCATTCCAAAGGGGGGGACCCATTTATCAGGTTTAATCTGCATGTTTTTTAAGCCAAAACCTGGAACTCAACCCTATTTCTGACATTTTGAATTGAAAAAACTTCCTGGATGGGAAGCGAAACGTCTTCAAACTTGGAAGCAAAATCCAGTGGATTGTTTTTAACTTTTTTGTAAAACCTTCATGTTGTCCAGGTGAAACTGGGCTCTTGGTGGGAAAGATAACTCACAGGTCTCCCTTTGTGGGTTACGCCGGCAACAAGCATCAGACTGAGAAGAAGAGGCTTTACAACGTCCTGGAAAAAGGCGACCAGTACTTCAACACCGGCGACCTGCTTCGGCTCGACCACGAGAACTTTCTGTATTTTCAGGACCGAGTTGGAGACACGTTCAGGTGAGCGGGCGCTCAGCGTTATGGAGGTTCCTCCTGCTGACACGGAGGCAGACGGTTCTTCTTCTTTGGTCCCGTTTCAGGTGGAAAGGTGAAAACGTCGCCACGTCGGAGGTGGCGGACATCCTCATGGTGGCTCATTGCATCAGGGAGGCAAATGTTTATGGCGTTAAAGCAGAAGGTAGAGAAGCCAGAAAATTAATTTTTTTACATAAAACCTTCAGTTTAAAAGAAAAACTAGCTTCTTTGATTTTTTTTTTGATCACCAGGTCATGAGGGACGGATCGGCATGGCAGCCATCACTTTGAGAGAAGGAGAAACCTTTGACCCCACGGACGTCTACAAGCAGGTCGTCTCCTACCTGCCGGCCTACGCAAGACCCAGATTCCTCAGGATTCAGGTGAGATCATCATATTTAGTAGCCTCATGAGACCATCCTGATCTCGCGAGCTTTCAAGGTTTCACTCGCAGATCAGTCTGGAGACTCTCCGTTAAAGAAAATTTGGAGCCGTTCACCAAACGAACGTCCAATCAGTGTTGGCTTTGAGGCGGGTTGAGGTGTGACGCAACGAGAAGCGCGACAGTTCAGTCTAAAGAACATGGCGGCTTCAGCCGATGAAACTAGCGTTAGCGTGGCTATCGAGCAAGTTTTATCGGAATTACAGAGTATTTCTTCACTGAAAGAAGAGCAAAACACTGCTCTGGAGGCTTTTCTCAGAGGAAAAGATGTGTTTGCTCTTCTCCCGACTGGTTACACCAAGAGTTTGATCTATCAATTGGCTCCTCTTCGTCGTCGCTCTGTTAGTACGTCATATGCTGCGTTGATCTGATTGGTTTATTTGACCCGTCTATCACCAACATAGGCCAATCAGCTAACCAGTATTTTCGCCCCTTCCCAAAATTACTTCAACGGAAGGTTTTCAGATGGATATGCGGAGTAAATCCATCTGGCAGAGTCAGGTTACATATTTAGGCAGAAAGGCAGGAAATAAAAAATTTAAAATAACAGCCATAAAACATTATTTATATTTAACCTAATTTGCAGCTTTTCAATGGATTCTGTTTAAAGGAAAAATCTGGTCAGCAGGGAATAATCAATGGATCATTATTTTACCTAAAACTAATACGTTCGCGGTCATTAAAGGAATTTAGAGTTAATCGGTAAAAAATGGCGATCACTGAGTCTGGGAGCGGCCATTTTTGCTCAAATCTAGTAGCCCCTCCCTCCTGCCATCTTCCAGCAGTGACGTCACGGTGCGGTAAGCCTAGCGCCATTCTCCCCGCTTTCCAAGCTAAATCAATGGGAACTACTAGACACATCTGCAATCAACAACAATTATTGAAGGTTTCCAGAGGACTTCACCATTGAAATTCACCAGAGCTATAGTGAAACTGACAATGCCCACGTGCATGGCAGCTGGATGCTGGAATACATCGGGTAAAAGTGAAAAAAAAAGAGTTATTCCACCTTTCTGATTCCTGATCCTCCACGGACGGGTTGGTCGTTGGATCGCCAACTTGAAGAGGGAGGATTTGCCATCGAACTTCTGGCCAGAGAAAAAACCCGTAATATGTAGCCAACATTTGGAAGAAGAATGTTTTCAAGATGACTTGGATAATAGCGCGTTGTGACAAACACCAGATACAGCACTGGGACTTGATCAACAGCCGATATCGCACCGTGACGTCACTAACCAGTAGGTGGCAGTAGTGTTCTTTGACAAACATGGATGCCTCCAGTAAAGCACATTCACATGAAAATTACTCTGAATTAAAAACACTGATCATTTATTGAACAGGATGGAATAATTTTATACTTTCAGAAGTTTTATTCTGAAACTTTTCCTTTCATTTATTTACTTAAAAGCAAACTGCACGAGCAACATTTTTTTAAAGTCTGTTAAAAAAAAGTCCTAAAATGATGTTTCTTCAACCAGAAATCTTGTTTTATTAAAGTATAACTTTTAATTGTTTACCAAAAATCCAGCAGTTTAGTTCAGTAGATCCCAAATATACGGAAGAGGATTAGGGCCACTGAAAAAAAAAGTGAACTGATTTTGAAATTTTATTTCAGTTTAACATGGGAAAAAATGTCAGAATTCTAAGGATTTTATTTCAGAACTAAACTGAAATAAAATTTCAAAATCAGTTAACTTTTTTTTTTTTTTCCACTGGCCCTAATCCTCTTCCGTACAAATATGATCCCAGTTAGTTCATTAATAAATGAGCTAACTGGGATGAAACCAGCTGCTTCCTGGGATCACTGGAGCAATGTGAACAAAAATCAGGCATTTTTACGGTCGACAGCAGCAGCGGATTAGATAATCCTTCCTTTTACACACAGAAAGTCAGAGCAGTGATTGAAGGAGCCTCATAAAGTGATAAACCTGGTTTCCATGTTTAAACTATTTGTATCAGTTTGCTTTGAAACTCTACTTGCTTATTATGCAAAAATGAATTTTAAGGTTTTTAAACCAGATCAGTGGTCTGTTTCTGATCTATGGCTGACGTTCCTGCACGCTGCTGAATCTATAAACCAGAGGATGCAGCGTCAGCAGGGGGGGCAGGTGTCCCTCTTTATGTTTGAGAAAAAAAACAACCTTTCCAGTCTTCAATCCTGCACTGATTAGGAGAGTTTCCTCATGTTCAGCCGACTCTGCATCTCGTTAGTCAGCACCACAGGCCATAAGCTCCACGTCTGCAGGCTAACCTGTCCTCTCTTCGCTGCTGCCTCGTACCCGTTTACCTGATTTTGTGCAGATACGTTTTTTGTAATTCTGTTCTAAAATGTAACTTAAAGTTTCGTTACACAAAATGGAAGCTATACGTTGGACAGAGTTCCTATTAGATCTGAAACAATTAGTCGGATTAATCCATTATTGAAAAAATAGTAAACTAATTCGGTAATCGATTAATCGTTAACTGGAGTACAGAGGCTCTAGAACCTTTAGCTGACAGAGCGACTCACTTAGAGCAGCAAAAGTATCGTAAATACCATCTACTTTGGGGGTAAACAATTAAACATCAGCAGGTCCGAATAAAGAAAAATCAACCAGTAAAGGTCATTTTTATTTATAATCTGTTACTTTAAAAAGAATTTAACACTGAAATAAAATTAGGTTTTTATTAATCTGTGATATATATTGAATTTTTAAATAAAAAATAGAAAATTTTTGCAGGTGTTTTTTAAGTAGAGAACAAAAATTGTTCAGTTTAGTATAAAGACAATTAGCTGCGACACATGAATCAAGATGCTATGACCGAAAAGATTAGATTGATGACCGTTGATATATGATTGGCCGAATTAAGTTGTTCAAGCTGACGTAGAACTAACTGGCCTGAAGACACATGTTCCATGTTTTAGGGAAAAAATGTAAAAAAAAAAAAAAAAAAACAATATTTGAATTTTAAGGATCGATATTATATTGGGACGCCAAAAATCACAATATATTGCCAAATCGATTTTTTTCCCACACCCTTCCAATCCAATCCAACTTCATTTTTAAAGAACTTTAAAATCTTCTCAAAGGACCAAAGTGCTGAACAGTGAAACAACACAACACCATTACACATACTCAAAAAAAACCATACAAGCATAAAAGACTAAATTAAAATCAGAACTTTAAAATCTATAATAAAATAAAAGTAATTTAAAATAATGTATCACAGAATAAAATCAACATCTCGCACAGTTCAGAAAGCCGAGGCAAAGGATTGAGTTTTTAAAATCAGGGTGATTCGTGAGCCATTTAAAATAAAAAAAAAGAAGTAAACTATTTAATTAGCAATGGAAGGTTGTTCCCTTAATTAATTTTTTAGCAGCCCAAAACAATTTTAAGGATTATGACGGAGTATTAGAGCCAGGACAAAGATTCTTTTCTTCTATTTCAAGAATAAAGTCATAAGACGGTGGAAAAAAATCTAGAAATAAGTAAACATTTCTTAAATTAAGTGTATTTACCCTTAATTTGAGTAGGTAAATGAGATAGTTTGCAATGGAATGAGTATTTTTACTCTTAAAATAAGATAATTAGATAACATTAACTTGAAATAAGACAATGCAACAGTGTTTTCTTATTTCAAGTGTAAATTGTCTTGTTTCATTGGCAAAATGTCTCTTTTACCTCCTCAATCTAAAGACAAATGCACTTATTTTAACAAAAAAAAAAGACTTATCTAGATTTCGATTTTTTTCCAGTGCATTACGAGAATAAAGTCGTAAAATTACGAGAATGAAGTCATCATACAGCAAACCGTTTCAGAAAGAAAGCTTGGAGCTCCGCCCAGCAGATGACGGCCGACCAGCTCCACCAATCAGCAACCAGAGTCCCCTTTGACATCCTTCCCAGTTTGATGCTGCTGCTAAAAGATTTCCTGATCTGTCAAACCGATGCTAAAGTAGAACTTCACATGATGCTCCACTTTCCTCACTTTAAGGAACAAAGGGCTTCTTGTAGGAGTTGTTATAAAATACAATTTTATTCTCATAATTTTAGGACTTTATTTTCTAATTTTACGACTTTATTATTGAAATACGTAGAAGAAAAAAAAATCTCTAGCCTGGCCCTAATCATCCGCAGTATTAGGATAATTATCCCTGATGATGTGTGAGTTTATTACACCCTGATATTAGCTGCCTGTTGCGCGTCAGAACTGATTTTTTTCCTCAGTTGTTTATCTAATTAAGACATTTTCACTGTCCGGTTACAGTTAAAATCTTAATTCTGAACGTAGAAAAAATGTAAGAATGGAATTTGAGCGGCGTCCTTCAGCTAAGAACTAATTGTAATAATTTTAAAAGGCTGGAGGCATGGATGGCTAATCATCTGCTAACGTGTTTGATGTAGAATAAGATGATGATACTGCAGATGTATAAAATGATTCTCTCTGTCAGCGCCACAGGGAGCCCGGTTGGTGAGCAGCTGCCTTCTGTAACTCTGAGCAATTTCTCTGATCAGAGTAAAATCACAATTTCTATCAAAATGTGCCGTCATGTCCTCTGGTTATTTAATACACTGGAAAAAATACAAATCTATATAAGTCATTTTTTTCTTAAAATTAGTGCATTTGTTCTTGAATTGAGGAGGTAAAAGAGACGTTTTGCCAATGGAACGAGACAATTTACACTTAAAATAAGAAACACAATTGCATTGTCTTATTTCAAGTGCATTTTATCTAATTATCTTATTTTAAGAGTAAAAATACTCATTCCATTGGCAAACTATTTCCTTTAGCTATTCAAGTTAAGGGTAAATACACTTAATTTAGGTTTTGACTTATTTCTAGATTGTTTTTGCAGTGTACATATAAGTTATGAAGTCTTACACTGGAAAAAATGGAAATCTAGATGAGTCATTTCTTTCCTAAAATAAGTGCATTTTTTTCTTGAATCGAGGAGGTAAGTGAGACACTTTGCCAATGGAACAAGACAATTTACATCTAAAATAAGAAAAACACAATTTAATTGTCTTATATCAAGTGTATATTATCTGATTACCTTATTTTAAGTGTAAAAATCCTCATTCCATTGGCAAATCATCCTATTTACCTACTTGAATTAAGGGTAAATACACTTAATTGAAGATATTTTGACTTATTTCTAGATCGTTTTTGCAGTGTATTTAAAGCGTTTGTCCTGCACTGGAAAAAAATTGAAATCTAGATAAGTCCTTTAATCTTAAAATAACTATATTTGTTCTTGAATTGAGGACGTAAAAGGGACATTTTGCCAACGGAACAAGACAATTTACATTTAAAATAAGAAAACACAATTACATTGTCTTATTTCAAGTACATATCTAATTATCTTATTTTAAGAATAAAAATACTCATTCCATTGGCAAACTATCTCATTTACCTACAAAAATAAAGGGCAAGTACACTTAATTTAAGAAATTTTTACTTATTTCTAGATCGTTTTTTCAGTGTGAGTGATTTATTTTCTGGAAAACGAACCAGAGGGAGAAAGCTTCAAGGTGTAGAACCAGATCTTTAACACAATATAAAACAAAAACATTAAGCAAAGAGTGTAATAAAAAGAAAATAAATATGATAAAGAAATTATAAAAGCAGTGTGCGTTTTTATAGAAGAAATGGGGTCAGTTGATGACGCCTGGTGTTTCCTCCTGTTCCGCAGCCGTCCCTGGAGATGACGGGAACGTTCAAGATGAAGAAGGTGAAGCTGGTGGAGGAGGGATTCAGCCCTGCTCTCATTAACGAGCCGCTTTACTTCCTGGATCCTGACCTAAAGACTTACAGCCCTCTGACAGAAGAGATCTACGGCCAGATCAGCTCCGGGAAGGTCAAACTCTAACAGAGACGTGACTCAACGTTTGGTTTTATTTTAATTTTTTAATTGAGGAATTAACTTCTCATCCGTTGGACCTTAATCAACTAATCTCAGGGAGAAACTTTTGACCCAGCACTTGTTTGTTTAAAGATTTTCTTTTTTTATTAACACATTCACTGCACACCTCTACAGATGTTTAATTCATCATCCTGAGTGTTTCAGAATGTTTTTAAATAAATCCTTAGAATAAAAATATTCGCATCTGCTTCCTGTCTTCTGTTGATCAGATCAAAGAACTGCTTTAATGATTGGCAGCTGATAACCAGGGGCGGATTCAGGAAATGTGGGGCCCTAGGTAAAGACAGGCAGGGGGCCCTCTAAATTGAGAAGACAACACATAAACAGACCCATTCTACAGATAGAGAAATGTTAAGAAATGTGACTTTTCATGCTGTCTCTAAAGGAATGAAAGATTTTTTCCAAGCACTAAGCTCACTTAGCTGATTGCTCCTTCCTGTGTTTCCAAAAAGGCCAAAGTAAATAACCCAGTCCTTCTTTTCACTGTAGACAAGCCATGATCTGCTTATCTGTTCTCCATTTTTCATTTGGATGAAATAATAGCTGCATGAATCATGACAGCAGACAAGATAGAGGAGAGCAGGAGGCGGGGTTACCAATCTACTCGCTCTGGAGAGCAGAGTTCGCTGCTTATAGATGTTGTCTCCAAAGTCTCCAGTAGCAGAAAAAAGTCTCTAGATTTGGCGCTAGGAGCTTTTTAGAAATCAAAGTGCTAGAGGGGTCTGAAAAGTGGCTAAATATAGCGACTAAAGCGCTAAGTTGGCAACTGCTCTTTGCATGGTTTGTTTTCAAATGGTTTGCTGCTGTCTGTTTGGACCTTTCTGAACATGTGCAGCAAATGGACTGATCCAATATGGTGGACACTGAAGGGGGGGGGGGCTGAGACACACTTAATATTATCAGCGTTCTGATGGCATTTTAGCCAAAGGAATTTTATCAAAAACATAATTAATGTGCAAAAATAAGGAATACTTGTATTAACTATACATGGAAACAGAGTTTTATGGGCCCCCCAGGAACTTGGGGCCATTGGCAACTGCCTACTATTGCCTAATGGTAAATCTCCCCTGGTTAGAATATCGTCAAAGTTTGTTTGTTTCAGTATTTGTTGAGTTTTTTTCTATCTTGATGTATTTTGCAGAGTGACGTATATTTATCTTTGCAAGCTGGTCCCAGCTAGGGATAAACCCAAAATCTGTTTCCAGCCATGATGGTCCATGGTCTTAGCTGTATATTTACTCAAACTTGGCTCAGGCTCCTCGGCCAGCCTTTGCTTTCTAAACAAAATGCAACTTTTATCTGAAAAAATGAAACTCTGCTCTCCAGAGCGAGTAGATTGGTAACCCCGCCTCCTGCTCTCCTCTATCTTGTCTGCTGTCACGATTCATGCAGCTATTATTTCATCCAAATGAAAAATGGAGAACAGATAAGCAGATCATGGCTTGTCTACAGTGAAAAGAAGGACTGGGTTATTTACTTTGGCCTTTTTGGAAACACAGGAAGGAGCAATCAGCTAAGTGAGCTTAGTGCTTGGAAAAAATCTTTCATTCCTTTAGAGACAGCATGAAAAGTCAGCTGAGTACAAAACATAGAGAGGAAAACAAGAAGAAAAGGGACAAGAAGAGAGGGACACAACCTAGAACAGATAATGGATGTCCATTCTATTAACATTTCTCTATCTGGAGAATGGGGCTGTTTGATATGTTGTCTTCTCCATTCAGAGGGCCCCCTGCCTGTCTTTGCTTAGGGCCCCACATTTCCTAAATCCACCCCTGTTTCTAACATGCAGATTTGCAGAAGAAAACACGACAGCAGAAAACAAACCTTTACTTTATAAATGGATTTATTTAGTAATACAGTGGTATACTTAAAAATGTGTTGCAAAGAAAAAAAAGGAACAGAACAGAAATAAAATGAAAATAAATAAAAAGTATGTCGGCCACACGGGAAAATAAAACTAGTGTTGGTTTGAAGCGTCTGTGGTATCATATCAAAAGAAAAAAATAGTACCGATGTGCCATAATAAATCGTCTATTAGTACAAAAATACATTTCAGGGCACACAATACCGCATCCAGTATCACAAATAAAGGAAGGGGCCGCTGTTCAAAGCGGCCCCCCTTAAGTACATCTTTTTAAAATCAGTTAAACCAAGCACTTCTCTAGTTTGTAAATAAGAATAAAAAGTTTTCTGACAGTTAAAAATGCCTTTAAGTAACGTATCTGTCTGTGTGTATATGTTGGTAGAAAAAGGTTGGACTTATTACTGCTTATGTCAGTTCCAAGGCTCAGGGGTTTAACCGGAATACAAACATAACCAATTCAACCGCTTCCTCTTTTTTAAACAAACCGTTTTCTCTTTTATACAAAATAACAAAGATGTACAAAAGGTCATTTACAGAGAACCAAGGCCATATGCTAGCAGGTATGTACAGCCACGTTTAAACATCTTCTAGCGTTGTGTATTTTCCTCACACTTCATATGCATAGCAGTAAAGGAAAGCAAACTGTTTTTTCATCAGCCCCAATTATTCCGTGTGCTAAATCCGAGTTCCGTGTTTGATAAAAAAAGAAATGCAAGAATATCTTTTTTTTTCTCCTCCTGCAGATAATCGTTATAACTCAAGGATCCGATGTTGGAAGGTTTTTTTTGTTTTGTTTTTTTTACTGAAAAGTTAAATATGCAGATAAGGCATCACTGCTTGCAGTGTACGATGGGGTTTTCATGTTGAACTTAGTTAGCAGGCGTCTGGACCTGAGTCGTAGCACATGCATAGATCTCTAGACAGCAGGGGTTTGTAAAATCAAGTCAGTATATTTATCTATGTTAAAACATTTCCTTCTTTTTTTTTTTCTACAAAAAAAACAAACAAAAACGGCCCACAGGAACGGGCTTCTGATGCTACTTAATACTTTCATTCTTCGTAGTTTTTTCATAACGTCTTCCGTGGTGAAGGGAAGTCCTGGGAGATCCTCCATGAGTGAAACGCATGACCACTTAGCTCGCAAACAAAGGCTCTGCTTATACAAAATTCATGTTTGTGTGGATTTTGTTTTCTCTTTACACAGTACACAAAAATCTTGCTGCGATATTAAATAAGGTTCCAAAATTCTCCTTTTTTTTTTTTTGCACCACTGAAACCTTTTAAAAAAGTGAGCTAAAAATGTCAAAATGAGATAATCCAGTCCTGTAGCACTGGTCATGCATTCCAACTTCTCTTCCTTAGATTAAATAACTTTTCTCTTATTTGTTCTTTTTTTTTTTGCAAGCCTTGAAAGCACCGAAAACAAAAGAAAATAAAGAAAGAAATGAGAAAAGGTCCAGATGCTGGACTCCTCCGACTCGCTTCATAGTGAGAAAGACTGTTTCTCTACTTGATAAAGTTCTGGGCACAGTAAACTAAGTGGGGGGGGGGGGTTATCACATTCGTTAACAGGCCAGCTGTCGCCCTCTTCAGAAGTGGTCAATGAGCACAGACACGCAGTTTGCACCCACCAGGTAGTTTGGGTCTCCGGGGAGAGATTTGTTCTGCCAGGTTTTAGGATCACCTGCAGGGAGACAAGAAGCAGACGCCATCAGGGTGCAGAAATGAAGACGCTGTGTTAACAATAAATATCAGGATTAACATTAAATCAAAAGATTTTCATGAGCTGATGCAAGGTGAGAGTGATTCCAAAAACAGTTAGAAAAGACTTTTTCCAAATTTGAAGACGTTTCTCTTCCATCCAGGGAGATTTTTCAATTCAAATGTCAGAAATAGCGTTGAGTTTGGAACGGGGTCTGTGGAGTTAGAAGCTGAGACACAGATATTTCTTGCAAGAAAGAAGGTTCAGTTTTATTTAACGTCCTCAGACAGAGAGATAGGGCTCTGACTGGGTAGTTCCCCATAGACACACTCTCCCTTGGAACTATCCCACCCCTACATAAAGAACTTTCTCACACTTGAACATTTGGTTATTCCCAAGAAAAAACACACTCATTTCCCTCCCTTCACCTTGTCTAGAGTCGGGAGGCATCTGCTTTCTGTTTTCCCCAAATCTTAACTCCATAACTTAACTCCAGCATACAGACTTGTACCAGACTTCTAAGCAATCACCCCTACTTAGACAAAGGCACAATATTTTATCTCACAAAAAGGCCAAGGAAAAATATGCTTCCACAGGCCGCTTGGCTTCTTTGTTAGCCTGCAATGCCCCATACCTGTCTATGTCTCAGAAAGGGGGGTCGTTAGAGGGAATGGTTGGCCTGGGTGAATAGGAGAGGTCTTCTGTTCTCCTGTAAAGGTTGGTGGGGCTGCCATGATGGCGTCTCTATTTAAGGGTCTGTTTGGTTTGAAATATTCTGGGATTTTGTGTTTGGAGAATCACAAGCTAACTAAGCAGCCAAACGACCCCCATTCCAAAGGGGGGGACCCGTTCATCCGTTTCAATTTGCATGTTTTCTAAACCAAAACCAGGCTTTGTTGGGCTGCTGGATAAAACCTGGAACTCAACGCTATTTCTGACATTTTGAATTAAAAAAGCTTCCTGGACTGGATGGACATAATAGAGGAGATCTATAACATGGAAAGACTCACATTGAAGCTGAGACTGAAACAAGTGAAGTTTGATACCAAATGGGACAAATGGACAACATATCGACCCTATAGCAGAGCCGCCACGGAAGACTGAGTATATTCACCATTGCCGAACTGCTCTTACCTAAGATATATATCACTGACACCCTTGTTCCTTTTCTCTTATGCAAAAGCAAAAAATTTGAGTGACAAAAAATAATAATAATAATAGTTCTGTTCTGTAAAACCCTTTGTTGTTGTATATTTTTGTAATTATTAATGTTCTATATTGTTCATGCACTCTCTTTTGCAATAAAAAGAAAAGAAAAAAAAAAGAAAAATCTTCCTGGATGGAAGAGAAACGTCTTCAGACTTGGAAACAAAGTCCAGTGGATTGATTTTAACTTTTTTGGAACGACTATGACCTGGATGACTGAGAAACTGAGAAAACAGTGAAAGTGATTGATTGGTTCATGTTCAGATCAAAGGATTTATCAAGATCTGATCTTTAAACTGCTATTAGGATCAAACTACAGAGAAGATGTCAGGAGACATCAGCTGGAGACAGAGAGAGATCCACCAACTGTTAGCTTCCTTGGGTCGCTCATCATCAAGCTGGGAGAACCGACCAAAGGGAGTAACTCAACATTCACTCCTTCACTCACACGCTTATGATGGGGAGCTACATCAGAGCCACAGCTGCCCTGGGGCTCACTGACAGAAGCCAGGCTGCCGCACACCGGCGCCACAAGAGATTGACTCGATTAACAAGATTCATAAATAGAATGAAACATGGTGGAGGAAGAATTATAATCTGGGCCTAAATGGTGCATGAAAGGTTTTCAAAACATCCTAATATTTTAAAATTGTTTTTATTTTAGGGACATGATGCCCGATCATTCTCAGAAAGAACCAGGACTTTGTTTAAAGTCAAGGTTGGAAAAAAGGGAAGAAGAGCTCATTCTGGTCAGGAAGCTTCACGTTTCTGACAGATCGTGTTTAAAATGCAACAAAAGAAAAAGGTCTGGCTGAAAAAAAAGCTGCATACTACGGAAGAGGATTAGGGCCACTGGAAAAAAAACAAAAAAACAGTTAACTGATTTTTAAATTTTATTTCAGTTTAATATGGGAAAAAAGTCAGAATTCTGAGATTAATCTCAGAATTCTGACTTTAATCTCAGAATTCTGACTTTATTCCCTTTAAATTTAGAATTCTGTCAGAATTCTGAGAAAAAAGTCAGAATTCTGACTTTAATCTGAAAATTCTGACTTTTTTTTTTTAGAATTCTGACTTTATCTCGGAATTCTGACTTTTTTCTCAGAATTCTGACTTTTTTTTATTGTCAGAAAAAAGTCAGAATTCCGAGATTAAAGTCAGAATTCTAAAAAAAAAAAGTCAGAATTCTGAGAAAAAACACACTTTGACTTTTTTACCTGTACTAAACTGAAATTAAATTAAAAAATCAGTTAACATTTTTTTTTTTTAGTGCCCTAATCCTCTTCCGTAGCATCCCGAACCATGGATGTAAGTAAAGGATGAAGAATGGAGAAAACTCTCCAGCTACTCAGAAGGAAAACAAGGAAAAATGTATAAAAATAAAAAGAGAAAGTCAGTAGAAAGGTTCAGAACAGATTTTTAATGCTGATGCCACGGATTAGGAGTCACTGCCCCATCCGTCCTGCACATGCGCAAACAGATATACGTCCGGGTTTCCATAAATAATGTCAGTATGGTAATAAAATGACTTATTTCTATCCTTAACTCAGATAGTCACTGCGGAGCTGAGTCCCACCTGGTTTTTAGACGTAGAGTGTGAGCAGGTAGATCGCATCAGAGCGTCGGGTCGCACAGCGTGAGAACAAACATCGTGAGCTGCGAACTTTTAAACCCTGCGGTTTCATCGTGCAGTGTGAGCTGTAGTGGCGAGCAACGTTTAAAACAAATCGCAGCGTACGCCCGGCATCTTCTGGTTATTTTTTACAAGCCCGGTGATTATGGAAAAAAATCAGCAACGGTTCTGTTTGTGTTCTTCACCATTTTCTTTATGATTTGATGGTTTATGTAGAAAAATAGATGAGAAATTTAATATGAACAGAAAGAAGAGAGATAGGAGTATGTGAAAGCACGGATTCTCCACTCATACATTCCCTGTTGCACCGTTCTCTTCACAGATGCAGGATGAAAATAAAATTATGAGAGTGATTGAAGCTAAGGGGGCTAAAGGTTTTCCGTTTTTAAATCTGTGAACATCCTGCCTGATCAAAGCCAGCCCACAGACCCCAAAAGGACAGACAGAGAGGACAGCGTACCCGACGAGGAGTCGGAGGATTTTAGAGCAAAAGACCAACCATCAGGGGTCATAGACGCACAGTGAGGTAAGCGCAGCTCCACCGGCTTCAGGAATTTGAGTCCGTGAGGGCCGCACATCACCAGCGGACTTAGCAGCGTTTCTCCTGCAAAGAAACACGACAGGATTTAAATTCCACCGATTAGGCACAGAGTTTAGCAGCACAGAGGGATTATCCTTTAACTAATGAAGCTCAGAGAGGGGGGGGGGGGGTTGGGGGCAGTGAGGACTATTAGGCAGGTTATAAACCAGGAACACCTCAGAAAAAGATTTTACTTTTGTTTCCGTCTGAAATAATCCCAAAAATATCACCATCTTGATGATCATTTTAATCTGACATTAGCAGCAGAAGCAAAGCAACCCGTCGTCTTAAGCTGTGAGTCATTCCTTGGCATAATGGGGACAGGGAGGATGGGGGGGGCTGACCTTTCTCCTTGTCCAGGGGGGGCAGGATGCTGTTGTCCCGGCACACCTTAAAGTAAATCTCCTGCTCCACGCTCTCCGGTATGGCCCCCTGCGGAATGATGATGCTGACGCCGGTTTCGATGGAGCTCAGGACCCCTCCGTTACTGTTAAAGACGCCGCGGGCGGTGGCTACCACTGTGTGCCCTTCATCCTCGTCATCATCATCCAACGCGCTGGGGCTGCGGGACAGAGGGAAGCGAGTCAGCATCATCAGTCAAACAGCGGCGCAGCAGAGGGGGGGCGAGCGAACCTCCGCGGTTCCTCCTGTCTTACCTCACAGGGATGGCCTTGGGAATGGCGTTGACGTTATTGTGCTGGTATTTGGGCCTGTTGTCCATGGTGCGGGTGAAGGTGTCCAGGCCGCTGTCATGGTCCAGGGGCTGAGGGGACAGCTGAGGTTTCCCAGAGGTGTTGCTCACCCCTCCAGGCTTAGCCAGGAGGTCCGTCTTCACCTGCGTGTCGTTAGGCAGCAGGTTGTGGTTGAACTTTGGGCTGTCAAACTTGCGCTCGAAAGGCCGGGCTGCACTGGTGTAAGGCTTGGGAACGTAGCGGTTGTAGCTGGTTGAAGGCGGGGCACCCAGCGCCTTTGAGGGAGGGGCATCCGTGCCGTTAACAGGGACTTTATCGGGGAGGCCTCTGGGAGGCAGGTAACCTCCTGTAGAGGGTTCATCCCTGCTGGGGGGTCTGAGAGCTGCCAGGTCAGATTTAGGGTTCGGGGAGGTCAGAGGTTCAGGTATGGAGTTAGCTGGAAAACAAGGAAAGGGAGAAAAAACTGTTCAAAACATGATGTATTTAATGTAAAACTGACAGAACATTTAAAGAGGCATTCAGCTCAACAGCAACTAAACTGCATCAGTCTTTTACAGCAGCTGAGCTTTTTCACATTTGAATAAGCTCTTTAGAAATGAGCTTATTTTTAAGCTATTTTTTAGTGGATGAGCAAAAATCCTCCTGAACGGGGAGCGGGAATGGAGCTGCACTCCGTTCATATTGACAGCGAGTAGATAAAACAAAAAACGTTTACATCTTTACTGAAAGTCCAACCTATAGATGTGAGGAGTGTTTTACCAGCTGCACTTTATCTTAGGATTAACATACTAAATACACTAGGGATGGAACGGTTTATGAAAACCGTCCGAACCGTTCGGTTCGACTGTCTCGGTTCGGTTCGCGTGTGTTGCGTTCGGTTCATGCGCTGCTCCTTTTTCTCATAGGCGAAGCGTTTACACTCCAGAGCAGAAGGTGGCGGTACTGCGACCAAAGCCAACCACCAGTAGTAAACAAGAAGAAGAAGAAGCGAAGCAGCTTAGCCGGGTGTAGCAGAAAAAAATCAGTTGTTGTGGAGAATTGTGTGGGTATGGCGAGTGGGAAAGAACAGGAGTTGGAAGACGCGCCAGCAGCACTTTATAGGTCTGCTGTATGGGACCACTTTGCATTTAGAGTGACCTACGATGACGGCGGAAAGAAAGTTGTGGATAAAAGTGCAACAGTGTGCAAGCATTGTGCAGCACGTTTTGTTTATGCTAACAGCAACATGACCAACATGTCAGGCTAACAATCAACATATACCGAACCGAAAACCGTGAACCGAAGCGTGGATTTTGTGAACCGTTCCACCCCTAATATACAGTAGTAAGATATTTTTCCCAACTATCAGAATTACATGTACAGATAAAGAGCAAGTGCTTCATATATGTTCATCAGAAGATATTGATCATTTAGTTATTTTGGTATCCATGTTGTTTGGGGTTCGAGTATCCATGTCTTCCACTGTGACGCCTCAACTACAGACATGGTGCCGTGACTCACAGCAGAAGGACTCGGTGGTTCTATATACCAGAGTGGCGGTGCAGAGGTAGCCCATTCTCCCTCATTGTTTTAGATAAAATGTTTTGTTTTTAAAATCGATACTGGGAGCTGAAAATTCGATCCAGCCCAAAATCACAGTATTTCAATCTGAAAAACTCATGAAAAGAAAAGACAATTAAAAGAAATTTATCGATACGATTACTTGGTCTTTGGCGCTCAGACCTCGGCAGGAAACATAGCGCTGAATTTTGATAGATATGCATGAACAGGAGTAAAGAACAGGGCTGTTTCTCCCCCAGGCCTGAAACTGGTGGTGGAGTGGAGATAGATGGAGTTGGTCAGTCTGTAGACTGCTGATACTAGAGCTTCACTCAGGGACCTGGAAGATGGAAGTCCAGCTTGGATAACACAGGTTGAGAGAACCTGTCTATGATGAGCAAGCATGAAGCGACAGTGGAGAGGAAAACTCCCTATTGGGAAGAAACCTCCGGCAGAATCAGGCTCAACATGGCGGTCTACTGCAGGACCGGTTGAGATGAGACAGGGAACGCAGTAAGAGTTCAGGAGGAATGAAACTCTGATGAAGCTTTAGCTACGATGGTGGAGGAGGGGCTGGAGGGGGGTTGAAATGGGGTCATCTGAATGAAGTCACACAGCGGGTCAGACATGTTGCGGATCGGAGGCCTTTTAAGATGGACTTTGGATGCTGATTGGCTTTCGTGGAGGTGTGGTCCAAAGCTGATTGGCTGTCGTAGGCGGATGAAGGAGAACAATCAGTTTCTTCAGTTGAACTTCTGCCTGTCTCCATATTGCCAAATAGATTTTTTTTTTATACACCCCTATTGTTATTTCTGTTAGGTTTGTTCTTTATACATCTTGTGTATTGTTACTTTGTTAGCCAGATTAGAGAGAGTAGAAGGCCTTCCTTCACATGGTGGACGTCACTGTGTGTACGGAGGTCATCTTATCAGGACAGCCTTCATGTCTTTAAAAATACACGGGATATGGGCACATCTTGGAGACGGACTGATAGGAGAGCTATGTGTAATCATGGGGTAAAGAGGCAAGATGCATAAAGGTCAGGGCATTGATGGCGTGTCAGTTTCTGATACGGACAGCTAAGCATCCACCTGATGCAACACATGGACTCCTGGGGTATAAGAAGGAGGAGATGACCTTGTTAGGTCCCCCTGAGCCCACAGCTGTGCCGACTCTAAGCAATTTCTCTGTCCTGTAACGACCTGACCTGGAATAAACGCTGTTACTTTTTTACTCCTGTTTTATAGTCCTTTTTATATGGTTTTACCCAGTTTGAGTTAAGAGTAGTAAATAACTTGCTCCCAGGAAAAGAACCGTTGGGGAAGTTCCGAGGCGCAGCCGCCTTCAGGGGGACCTAACGTCCATATTTAACATTTCCATATTTTCACCTCATGTTAAGAAAAAGTTGATAAGAAATTGTCAAGAGAATATTTTAGAAGTATAAGAATGAAAACGGAAGTTCCTAATGTGTGTGAGGGAAGAAGAGTGAATTAGAGGAGAATAACAGTTTCTAGAACTTACCATCAACAGGGCTGAGTTTGGGCAGCGTGTTCGGAGGGTTAACTGGAGCTGGGGGTGCGTACTGAGTGGAGGGACTGATTTGGGGCAAAGCTTCATATCTTTTCTCCACAGGGCTCACCTTCTCCAAAGACTCGACCCTTTGAGGAAGCAAACAGCAGTGCGTGTGAGACCAGTAACGCTATGAGGAGGAGGTCCTACTGACAGACGGTGAGCTGGTCTACCTGTGGTACGGGTAGGACAGCTGGGCTGGTTTGGACACGTCATGAAATCGGTTGATACCGGGTCCAGGTTGGCCCATCGCCTTGCTGTCAAAGCTGCGCCGGTCAAAGTAGGACAGCTGCTTCCTGTAGTACTCTTCATCATCATCTAGGTCATAGTGGTTAGAGCGAACCACGTCATCCAGAGGCTTCGAATGAGGCTTCTGCGGCTCAGGAGCCCTGAAGACAAAAAAACACAGTTTTATATCAAACATTACATATATATATTTATATATATATATACTCTAAACATCAAAGCGGCCTTACTAATAATAGATGAATTACACAGAGGATCACTGTAAACCTCAGATGTAATGTATTTCAATCAGTTAATTAATCAAAAGTTCACCACTAGATGGAGCACAATCAGCAGCAGCTCTGCTATAATCCAGCGTCTTCCTTTAGTTTGGAGGTGAGGATTAGATACCTGTAGGTAGACTTCTCCTGCTCCAGGTTGCTGAGGGAGTTGGCTTTGAGGACCGGGGCGGGAGCATTCACAGGCTTAGGAACATCTGCAGGCTGCAGAACAAACAACAAGGCCTGCTTTATATGGAAGGAACCCTCAATACCAAACTTATTCACAAATGTTTTAGTCAAAAATGACGAGTTAAAACGAACTCGGGCTGCAACTGAACATTATTTTGCAAGCTGATTAATCTGTTGATTATTTTTTGGATGAATCGATTAATAATAGAGCCAGCTCCCTCTGACATGGGAGCTGGCTCGGAGCTCGTCTGCCTGGCTGTGTGTTTCCTGGACTGGTCGACTTTTGCAGTTGCCTTTTGTATCTATGCTTCTTTTTCTATGTCTGCTTCTGTCTCCTTGAACCCCAGTGGGCCTCAGCAGATGACCGCTCACACTGAGCCTGGTTCTGCTGGAGGTTTCTTCCTGTTCAAAGGGAGTTTTTCCTCTCCACTGTTGCTACAAGCATGCTTAGTGTGAGGGATTGTATTTGAGTCAATGAGTCGATGCAATCAGCTGGTTTTCCTTAGATAGAAAACTTTGAATCAATCTGACTGGATGATCTGGTTAAATTCTCTCTGTAAAGTCACATGTTGTGAATTGTTCTACATAAATAAACTGAAATAAATTGAATAACCAGATAACCAAAGGTTCCTTAAAGAGGATTTGTTGTTTTTAAAGAAATTAAACCAGGTGAGACTAAAACCTTTAAGGCTGATTTATACTTTGAAACCAGGTCGTCTGCGTAGGCGTCACAGTAAACAAATAGACGTACCCGCCCCCTCCGCAGACACTCCGCTGCACCTCTCCCAATTTCGATACAATTCCTGCTCTAAGTGGGTTAGTCTGTCACATTTTACAGTCTCTAAACTCCAGTTACTGATTAATTACTAAATTAGTTGATTATTATTTCAATAATTGATTGATTCACGATTCATCTGATTGGATTCATTTTTAGTTTGAATTATTAGGCAAGTTATTTTGGTCCTTCTTATTTCATATAAATATCTACAGTGTTCATTTTAAATGCCAAGATAATCACATTTAATGAATTTTAATGCCGATTAAGGCCTTAATTTAAACAATAATAATGTATTTTTAGTGACCTACAGAAACCCTGGTGTGGCCTGTTTAAGGAACGTACCCTGAGCACCGAAGACTCGCCGTCTTTAGCTCTGTCCATAGAGACAGAGCGTTTATTCTCAAACATCTTCACTCTGTTGAGCACTGACTGCGGCTTCATGGCCGGATCGTCATCCAGGTCTTCCCGAGGTGGAGGAGGAGGAAGCGGCCTGGAGGTCGGAGTGACTGCTGGCTCTCCCGGCGAAGGCAGGGCGTCCGGTTTCGGAGGAAGAACGCTGGGTTCAGAGTTGACGACGGGCTCGTGTATCCCTGGCTTATAAACCCGGTTTGAAAGCCCAGACATGTAGGCGGGCCGCAGACCGGAGTCGCCGTAATAGTGCTTTGGAGGCTCTGGCGAGCGAGGAGAATTGATGGGAAAGCTGCGTGATTCTACATCATAAGGAGAAAGGGCGTCGTAGGTTGCTGGGGGTGGGGGAGGGGGCTCATCGTAACGGATGGGCCCAGGTTTACTGTGCCGTGGTCTGCTGTCATAGCCCGCCGCCGGGGGCTCATCGTAGCGTGGCTGTGGGGGGCTGTACTCCCTCCCTGGTCCGTCCTCGTAGGGCGAGCGAGGACTGTAGCCCATGAGTTGCTGGTGGCCCGGCTGGTACCCGGCGGGCTGGGGGGACGAGGTCTGCTGGTCGTATGGGGGCCACTGTTCGTTGTAATGAGGCACACGGTTGTCGTAGTGCAGGTGAGAGTCAGCGTTGTGAGGCTTTGGTTCTGCGTAGCCGCCTCCGTCGTATCCATAAGGCGGGTGGTCGTATTCACGGTATGGCTGTTTGTCCTGAAACGGCGGCTGGTGACTGTAGCTCAGAGACTGCTTCAGACCGTGGTTGATTCGCACTGGGTCCTCCATATTGTACAGATCTTTCTTGTACATCTGCGAAGAAACGGCAACAATTAAAATGATTTCTCAAACCTACCCAGCTGAAGAACAGAGAGCAGCTAAGAAGAGCAGTTTACACCCAAAACACCAGAACAAATTCTGGCTAAAAGGAAATATGGAGCCATGCAAAAGTATTTACACTCTTCAACCTTTAACATATTCTCTCATGTTACAGCTTTATTGACATAAACACAAGGAAACCAAAATCTGGACTAGGAAAAGTGGGAGAAAAAGGGTTTTCAGAGGTGCTTAGAAATAAAAGTTGTTGAGGTGTAGAATCCAGCCAGCCTCGGCGTGATAGGAAACTACTTTATTAGCTGACCGGTGCGTTCGGATTTATTCCTTTTATCAATAAAAAATCAAACAAACATAAGGGGTCGGTTTCACAAAGCAGGTTTGACAAACTCAGACTAAAATCCTCCACTCTGAAATGATCTAGTCTGAGGTTGGAAACTCTGTGTTTTCAGTTCCATAAGAGCTGCTGTGAGTTTAATAAACTCTGAGTAGGTCCTCTCAACAAGTAAGAAAAGCCGTTATCAGTGGAGCCCCGATTCAACGAGTCTCCATGACAACAGGCAACAGGAAGTGTCCTTTTCCCACCACTCAAACTAGCTATTTCATTGAAAAAAATTAAACAATAGAGAATGTGTATAAAAGACATCAGCGCTACAGCTTTAAGAAGAGGAAGGTTGTGAAGGAGAAGATTATTGCTCAACTTAATGCGTAGGTTTATAAGAAGTGGGCTATGGCAGGCCGTTTTTACATTTATTAACGGCACTCCTCTGTGTTGTTCCATTTGTAGATCCCTAAAATAAGATTCTTTCTGATCAAAATAATAATAATGCAGGAGTTGACGTTAAGGATTTAGGGCAAGTGACTTTCACATTTCATTTGCCCAGAAACAATTTTTACTTGCCCAGTATAATGTTTGATAAATATAGTTCCTAATATTAATTTTTGTATATATATCAATGAAAAATGTTTGTTTTTTAAATGTTTGTTTGTAATTCAGTAAGTTTCCAGGTTCCTGGTGTGTATCTGCATGCGTCAGATAATGAACTCAAGCCTACATTACCGTGTTAACATGCTTTTCAATCCTTCCTGCACATTCTTTTCTAACTAAACTTTGCTTTAAACTGTTGTGTGCTTGGAAAAATATAAATTCACAGGTTAAAAATAAAAAAAAACTCGACAGGTTAAAAACTTACACTACTACTACTCACCAATTTAACATGTTTAGCTCTATAACATTTAAATGCAACACTCCAATGTCTAAGAGAAAAACATTTAATGAACATTTTTTTTATGTATGACCTGCATCACTGTACAGAAGGCTGCCATATGATAGAAATATTTACACTGTGCGCATACAATTATTATTATTTTCCTAATCCCTGACTGATCATTTTTAATCTGGCGTGTATTATAGTATAGATTAAATTCATCATCCAGCTGCTGCTCTGCAGAATTCTCTCCCCAAGAGCTGAATCACGCCATCTAGCGGAAAATCACGTGGCTATTTCAAATTACGCGAGAATGTGTACAAAACAACAAAAATGGCGCCGGCATTTTAAAGTAATTTTGAGTGATAAAAATAATTTTTTTGCGATCATTACACTTGCCCGGCGGGCAAATACAATGAAATTTGTACTCTCCCGACAATAAAAACTACTTGCCCCAGGCGATCGGGCGATGGTTAACATCGAGCCCTGTAATGTAATAATATATTTTATTTTGAATTTCAGAAAGTAAAAAACAAAAAAAAATTTGCTGTATTTTTTGGACAATAAGTCGCACTTTTTTCATGGCTGAAAATGAAAAAAATGATAAGTCGCACTTTTTTTTTTTGGCTGGCCATGCGACTTATACTCTGGTGCGACATATATACATTTTTTTTCACCACAAGGGGGCACTATGTAGCTTTGCAGCAAAAACATGTATTCTATTAATACCATTGAAAGAAAAAACATTACAACTCAAAGCAAATTTGCATTACAAAAACAACGACTGAATAGAAATATGCCACCTTAAAGAAATTCATATCTGCTGAATTCAAGCTGAAAGTAATTAAATACGCAGTTGAAAATGGCAATAGGGCAGCTGAACGACTGTTTGGATGCAGTGAAAAACTGCATCTAAAAAATGGCTTCAGATTATGCCAATAGGCTCGGCAAGTTGTTATCACCGAGTGAATCCTAATTCTAACCTAAAGTAATTCCTTCTCCCCCCATGGAATTCATTTATCTATTTATGTGTAATCTGAAAATAATTTCATTAGTTCTTCATGAACTGTAAAAAGAAAAAAGAAACGAAATGATCGGCATGTCGTTCATATTATTAAACCAAAAAAAAAATAATAATAATTTCATATCCTGTTGTAGAATCCTCTCTACATAAATATCGTATTCCCTGTGAATTAATGCCGATTATCCTTTTATAGGATCGTCATCAATGGACATGATAAAACCTGTCTCTAACGGACCTAGTGAATGAAATTTTTAACTGTATGCACAAAACTATGACAAGTCCTGCTAAATCAGGAAAAAAAAGAACGTGAGAGTGGAGACAGAGGACTAGCGCTGGGAAGAATGTTACTACGGCAACAGAAACAGAGGTTGAGGAAAGTCTTTGTGAAACGGAAAACTCAGAGTTTCCCTGATTTCAGGTTTAGAAACTTTCAGTAAACCTGCTTTTTTAAAACAGACCCCAGGAACCGAAGGAACACCAAAAACAAACCCATCGTTTTCCTTCCACTTCTCAATAAGGCAAAGATTCATATTAATCTACCAATTAAGCTTGTTGCTGTAACATTAATTGTGAAAAAGTTCAAAGTGTATAAATATATTTTGCAAAGTACCAAAAACTAAGCCTCAAAAAGCTTAAGATAAAGGATACAGATCCAATCGTTAGCGATAAATCCTGAACTAATTGATCAGATTGAACGAGCATATCGTTGTTCTTTATTTATCAACCGTTCTGAATGCCTGTTTGAAAGGTTGCCTTTCAGGGAAAAGCAAAAAACAATTTAAACAAAACTGAATTTTACCAATTTGAAAGTTTTTACTGATTTCTAACAATTTGCAGATTTCTGAAAGGCCTCATGTCAAACATATGATGTGTAGCCTGTAGACAGTAAAGTTACAGCACTTCCTATGGAAGAAGGCTAATTTGTTAGCAGCTAGTAAGAAGAAAACCACTCAACCAGGAATATATTCTACTGGGTTTAATTCTCTGTGGGATGAAATTTAGTTTGAGTTGTTGATATAACAAAGAAGACTGTCTGCAGGTTAGCTTTCATCATGCAACAAACATTCAGTTTGTAACTAATGCAATGTCAAACTACTGGCACTACACCAGACAACACATCTACCCACTACAGATCTACTGTCAGTGCTGCTAAGGTTCATCTACTGTAGAGCGTCCAAGCTGAAAGGAAACCCCGCCCCCCAAAGAAAAATCAAATAAAACAAACACCAGGAGCCATGCAAAGGAAGTAAGAGGCAACAATTAGGGCTGGTTGTGGATGTCTTCACCCTGATCAGAGACTCAGATGTAACCAGTCGTTCTGGTCTCCCAGCCCACTGTGGTGCATGTGGACAAACGTGTCGCACATTTCCTCTGGGAGCCAAAGGAACACAGTGGGCTTAGTGAGTCACACAGTGTGGACATGACATGCAGAGCGCGAGTGGAAAGCATGTGTGAGAAGACAGGCAGTTAAAAGAGCAGGCTGGGGCCCAGGCCCGGTCCGAGTGGCTGGTGAAACAGCGGATACCTTTGGTTCAGGACCGGGGGGTTCATGTGGTGGTGGTGGTGGTGGGGGCTGAATAAGCTCAGGGACAGGGCTGGGGCTGTTAATTGAGTCAGCCTGAGGAGCTGCGGCTGCAGCAGGCGGCTCCTCTAGTTGGACAGGCTGCTCAGCAGCTGGGGAGGCTACCACCGGCGGAGGCAACGAGGGCAGAGCAGCCTCACCTTGCTGTGAAGTATTGTTAAGAGACATTTATCACACAGCCCGCCAAAGGCACACAAAAACATCTCAGCCCAATGCTATGATCTGATTATTCACACTCAGCCAGAAAATACAGACATGTGGTTTGATTAGATAGCATACTGCTAACAGAAGATATTAAATCTTAGAGATGCACCTGAACTACATCAGCTGTCAGAAACTAAAAAACACATTTTCCACTGACTGTATAGGAAATGGGCAACATTTAAAAGTCAGGTAGAAAAACACTCTTTACTGTGGATGCTGTGACAAAGAGAGGAAAACTTAAGAGTAAGCTAGCTTTAGTATTAGTGAGGTGTTCAACAGACAACAGATGAAATTTGGAGATGAAAAGAAGAAATTAAATAAAAAAATTAAATCAAAAGATCAAGCCTGCTGTTCACTGACGAGAGGGAAAAAAAGCAAACAAACAAAAACCAAATGAGTCACAACTCCATCATTTTTAAATGTTATTGGAAACTTCAGATCTTTCCTTAAAAACATTTACTGTCTTGAATCTTGCCAACATTGGATGCAGCTTTAACGACCATAAGGAGTGTTTCTTCCTCCATAATGATTAAAGCACCACAGCTTGATTCTGCCCTGGATTACAGAGCTGATTGATTCCCCTAAATGGATCACGGTTCTGTCATTAACTAGCATTACCAGAACCAGAACCACGCATGGAGAAGCAGCTTTTAGTTCTTATGCTACACTAATCTGGAACAAACTCCAAGAAAGAAAACCTGAGCTGCTTTAAATAGAGAAATAAAACATATTTTAGGAGTGACCTTTGCCTGTCTAAAAATTATTAGTTTATTTTTGTAGTCCCACTTTCTCTCATTTTATTTTCTATTATTTATGGATTCATTTTTCATAATTTTTATTATCGTATTTTCCGGACTACAGAGCGCACCTCTACGGAAGAGGATTAGGGCCACTGGAAAAAAAAAAGTTTACTGATTTTAAAATTATATTTTAATTTAATATGGGAAAAAAAGTCAGAATTCTGACTTTAATCTCAGAATTTTGGATCTTAATGTAGATGGGCACCATGAAGGAAGAGATGTGGGAGCACTTCACTGACTTGAGCTGTTTGAGGTGGCCAGTGACACATTGGTGGAAAATGACGGAATTAAGCAATTTTTTAAAAGTCAGAATTGTGAGATTAAAGTCAGAATTTTGAGATCAAAGTCAGAATTCTGGAAAAAAAAGTCAGAATTATGAGATTAAAGTCAGAATTTTGAGATTAAAGTCAGAATTCTGGAAAAAAAAGTCAGAATTATGAGATTAAAGTCAGAATTCTGGAAAAAAAAGTCAGAATTATGAGATTAAAGTCAGAATTTTGAGATTAAAGTCAGAATTCTGGAAAAAAAAGTCAGAATTATGAGATTAAAGTCAGAATTTTGAGATTAAAGTCAGAATTCTGACTTTTTTCCCATACTAAACTGAAATTAAATTTGAAAATCAGTTAACTTCTTTTTTTTTCTGTGGCCCTAATCCTCTTCCGTACACAAAATCTTTTTTTAAAAACTTGAAACGTAAAAATGTATGCCGCACCGGGCTATAAGCCGCTGATCTACTGAACTGTCTCCCCTCAAACCTGTAGGGGGAGCTCTACATATAGCCCCTGGAGTAGGGACGAAGAAGAACGCTAACTCCCGTTAGCTTATTAGCTCGCAGCAGTAAGAGCTTCTACTGAAAGTTGGGGCTTCGTCGCCTCTTTATTTCAGCTCTGCAGGAGTTGAGCTCAGTCTCATTGGTTTAATGCAGCAAATAAATTGCAAAATGTGTGAATTCGGGACTTTGGTTCTCTGTCGTGCCTCCTGCTAGCATGTTGTGCTAAATGAAAATAAGCACCTTATTCTTTCCTTTCCAACTTTGACTTTCCCCTCTGACGGTTAGTAAAAATCCACAGAAAAGCGGGAGGTTCTTATAAGCCGCATGGTTCAAAGCGTGGGGAAAAAGTAGCTGCTTATAATCCGGAAAATACGGTAATCATGTTCAATAATTATATAATGACCATTATGCCATAAATCCTATATGCTTTTCTCTGAGTTTTTTCCTATTATGATTTTTCACGTAAAGCATTGTCTTCCTACTTAAATTTCCTTTATAAGTAAACTTGCCTTGGCTAGAATAAATTATATAGTGATTCACAACACATGTCATCTCAAGACACTTTACAATTCAACACGGTCATCCAGTCAAATTGATTAAAATTGTTCTATCTAAGGAAGAAACCTCCAGCAGAATCAGGCTCTTTTGAGTCACATTTACTAAGCTAACAGAAAGGTTGAAAAGAGAAAGTTATTTTAAGATTTCAAAGCGTTTTTGACAACTTTCTGCCTTTCCTTTGTTAACAGGTGGTATGTTTTTTTTCCCCCTCTTTATTCTTACTGTATGTTTAAGTTTTAATATAATGATCATCTTTTTTTTCTTCTATTAACTTGGCTTTGACAACAGTCAAACTGACTCCTGGTAAAAACTAGCTTAATTTAGCCAGCTTGGGTATGTTTACATTGCAAAATGTTGATTAATGTGTCCTGTCCCTTGTCGAAAAATCAGTTAATTAATTAGTCATCTGTCCTTAAACACTTATTACAAATACATGCACATGAAAAATTTAGTAAATTGATACAATATAATGAATCGACTTCAGTTCCTTTCAGGAGTGCCAACAGTTCCTTTCCTTACTTGGCAACACTGGAACAACAAAGTTTCTCTGTTTTTCCACATTGAGCTTCAACCTTTCTCAGTGACCATTTTAGATTTGGAAATGTTTTCAGGCCTCTAAAATATCAGAATTTGTGTAAGTTTCCACATAAGGGACGTTCTAAGTATGTCTCATGGACAATCTGCAGCCCTGGGAACGATTTGGTGCAGCGCCTGGCCAAGATTCAACAGCAGCACAGGAGGTTGATGCAGAAGAACTCTTAAAATTTAAACACCTAAAATTTCCCTGAAGAATTGAGATCTTGGACTATTAGATAAAACAAAGGAGCTGTCTTTTAATGCCCCACAACTGCTTGCTCTTTATTTTTATTGTAATGCAGTACTACATTCAGCACCTTCCCTCACAAGCAGACTTTAATAAACCTAGCTAAATTTGGCCCGTGTTTTCTCTGGAGGAGAAAAGGTCCAAGTCTGTGACTCATGACTGAGAATAGATTATAAAAACTACACAAAACAACCACCTAGATAAAGAAAACTATTAAGCCTGAATATTATGGATATGGTATGCCTTTCTTTTAATAAGACAAACATGTGAGATCTTTTCTTTGAGGTTCTATTGTCTCTAAAAAGAAACTGAGGATGTTGGAAAACTGTAAATCATTTCTCAGTCTTATATTTACATCTGATCACCATGTTTACATTTTATCCCTGCTGCACTTTAAAAATGGAAATGTCTTGAGAGCTGCACTGAACCAAATTTTGTTTTGTATACACGCTGTGTGTAGAAAATGACAATAAAAAGTCCAAATCTAAGTCTAATCTTTACCAATTTACAAAAATCTACTCTGTTCATTAAAATGTTCCACATTCAGTTTATCATTTAAAAAAATAAATAAACAGTTTATTTGTTCCTGCTGCCTTTGATAGAGCTTACTTCTAGCTCACATGCATGAATCTATGTACTAGTGCGAGTATTGCTAAGATAAGTAGCATAAATAAATCCTTTATGATACCAATGTCTATTAATAGTAAATTTTACTATTACATTTTCAATCATCATCTTTTGAGATTGTCACATTAAAACTTTTAAACGTAGAGGCTGTCAGCGTTGAATATAAATAATGAATGACTGCATGAAGCAGAAAGGCAAGGAAAAATCACTTTTCTCATATCTTTTGCTTTCATAATATATAAGAAATCTAAATAATCAAAATCCGAATCAGAAGGTCAGAGATCGAAAAAGCCAGATATCGGAAATTAGCCACAAATTCTGATCGCTGCATCTCTACTAAATATTAGCAAAGATCCAGACACAACACCAAATACAAACAGGAGCTAATGAATAGCCCTCTAGTAATACATTTAGCTAATCGTTTAGCGAGTACAATCCTACCTGCTGCGGAGCGGCCATCTTGAATCCAGCAGGATCTATTCGGCTGGCTGGGTCAGGCTGCACAGGATGCTGGTATCCAGGGTATCCAGCGGGGTCCTGTATCACAGGAGGGTCCTCTCTTACAGGCTCTGAGGAGCGGGTGATGGCCGGCTCCGTGGGCAGGCCCACTTCATCGTTTAACGTCTCGTCTAACTCCTGGTCCGTGTACGCGCCTCCCTCCGTATCTGTGTCCTCGTAGTCAGAAGTGTGGCGGCTGTCTGTGCTATACATGGAGTATTCACTACCTGGCGCCGACAGATAGGACAGACGGTCGTCGTGGATATCCAAGTCGTCCTCTGTGGTGCCGTCCGCCTGAGCAGATCACAAAATCTGTCACCGAACCGTCTGGCTCAGAAGAAGCATGAGGATCAGAGCTACGGCCGGGCGGTTTGTCTCACCTTGCCCTCTGATACCCACACCAACTGGTTCTGCTGCTGCTGGATGGTTTCTTTGAGGGCTCCGTACCAGCCATCATTCATGTTGTTCAAGTTGATGGTCGCTAAAAGGAAATAGTTTGCGTAATAATCACTTCACAAGGAATATGAAGGCATAAAAAAGGCCATTTAGGCTTGAAGTCAGTGTTGTCCAACACACTGTGCCTACTTACTAGTGAACAGGTGGTGATTATTCTTCCTCAGTTTAATGGCTCGCTCATAAAGCTTCCTGGCACTTTTCCTGGACTCTGGACAAAGTCTTGTCCTCATGTTCTTCACACCCTGTTTGCTATCAGGATTTAGGAAGACTACTATAGGGTACCACTGGGCATAGTTTAGCCTATCCACAGCGTTTGGGGTGATGTCCAGCACAGCGTGTTTGTCCTTTGTTGTAAAAAATGAAGAAAAGAATATATATACATAAAGTTTATTGAGAGATTATGTTAGATGGATTTAAGATGAAAAACGACAGCAAGTGTGCTCACTCTGTCTATGATTTGTTTGATGGTGTGAAGACGAATGATTCCTGAACTTCGCTGGTCTGTTCCTGCATCTCTAGGTTCGCTCTCTGAAATAAATCGGGTAAAGAAATTTAAAAAATTGAAACAATGAGCTCAGTAAAGCGTTGAGCTGTAATATCAAACATACTTGCAAGTTCAAAGAGATCTGGCTCCTCTCGGGAGAGCTTTTCTCGAGCCACGTCAGCAATAGGTCCGAATATTACCACCGGTCTAAGGAAACCAGCTGCACAAAGAAGCAAAACATTAAGGAGAAAAATCTCATCAGATTGGAAGATCCACTGAAAGAGGATCAAGAAAGAGAAACATTTCTGACTCCTGTTCAGCCCACTTTTACAGTGAAAATAGAAAAAAAATCAATATAGATGGATGAATATAGACTGGTGAAAGTGAAAGGATGAACGGACTCGAAAATCTCACCTTCTCTCAGGACCACTCTCTCATAAGCAGGGAACTTTGTTTGGACCGGCTGAGAGGAAAGATCCTCTCTGCTTTTCCTCAGGTTCCTCTTTGAGCTCCGAAGACCTCTGAACCGCCAGAAATCTGCCCTGTCACCTCCTGCTGTTTTGGGAAGCGTGTACTGAACACTTGAGAGCTGCTCCGCTCTGTTGACAGAAAGACAAAGACGGACACTGATGATGTAACACAGCCGCCGCCGACCACCCAGTTACCATGGAGAGAGGCGTGATGCTTCCACCTGTTTTTGTTGGGGATGATCCCCCTCTCCACCTCCTGGTGGTTCTTTCCAATGCGAATAGCCAACCAAGAACCTAGCTTTCCATTGTAGAGCGTGTCGACCACTCGGAAAACCTCGCCCTTGTTAAAGCTTAACCCGTATGGAGATTCCTTCTCGTACTCGAAATGTGTGCGGATGTAGAAAGAGTCCCCAACGTCCGACTCCACGATCCGTCGATAAACTGTAAAAACAAAGACCGGCTGGTCATTCACACCGAGCTGATCATGTCATCACATTCATGCTTCCTCTCCGGTTACCATCTTTTTTCTTCTGAGCCAGAATGGTGACCTCCTCGCCCTTAGGAAGATCCAGAAGGAATAGCACTGCCTCCTCTCGGATTATGTTTGCAAAATCAACATTATTTACCTGAAAGTTGAGAAAACATTATCCCATAAGTCCTTCACACTACAAGCTACAAGGTTTATGTAGTCAAAAAAACTTTTGACATTACATAATACAGCTGGAGAGAAGAACGCATACAAACAGGAAGACATACGAGTGTGTGGGAAATTGGACGAACACGGGATGAGGAAAATGTGTTTGTGCTTGCTTCTAAGGGGCCACTTCTAGGAGACTAACTTAAAGATAAAGGATTTTTCTTACAACCTGTAAGTGAACTAAAACAGGGAATGCTAAAGGATGTAATGCCTATAAAACAAGGCTGTTAACTCAAAAAATGCCTCAAGATGAATTACATTTAAAAAAAGGTCTTGATTTATTTTTATGTCTACTTTTAAGGCTAGGCTTAAAACTTTCCTTTTTGATAAAGCTTCTAGTTAGAGTGGCTCAGGTTATCCTGAGCTATCTCTATAGTTCTGCTGCTATAGGCTTAGACTGCTGGAGGACATAGGGACCCCTTTTTCATCATTCTGCTTCATTCTATCTCTATTCTCCCACTCTGCAGAATCTGTTAGTTCAATCTCTAACGTTCTGCTCTCTCTGCTTTTTCTCATAGTAGCTTCATCTGGTCTGTTCCTGTTTGGCTGTGACTCCATCCTGGAGAGAAATATCAGCTGTGCTGCTGCCATCAACACCTTTGTTTCTAGATGTTGGAGCTTGGCCTGTTTTCCAGTGTAGTCCTGTTTCTCTGACTGTGACTAACTGGATGTGCTCTCTTCATCCTCTGACATGGGAGCTGGCTCGGAGCTCGTCTGCCTGGCTGTGTGTTTCCTGGACGGGGCCGCCTTTTACAGTTGATTTTTTGCGTCTATGCTTCTTTTTCTATGTCTGCTTCTGTCTCCTTGAACCCCAGTGGGCCTCAGCAGATGGCTGCTCACACTGAGCCTGGTTCTGCTGGAGGTTTCTTCCTGTTCAAAGGGAGTTTTTCCTCTCCACTGTCGCTACAAGCATGCTTAGTGTGAGGGATTGCTGAAGAGTCAATGAGTCGATGCAATCAACTGGTTTTCCTTAGATAGAAAACTTTGAACCAATTTGACTGGATTATCCGGTTAACTGTAGAGTGCCTTGAGATGACGTGTTGTGAATTGGTGCTATAGAAATAAATTGAATTGAACCGTTCACTGATTTTACCCTGAGAATTTGGTCGCCCTCCTCCAGGCCTTCCTTAGCAGCTGGGCTATCCTCCAGCACTCCGGCGACAAAGATGCCCACGTCGTTCCCTCCAGCCAGACGCAGACCCACACTCTCCCCCTTCTTGAACTTCACCAGCTTCATGCTCGGCCTGAGGAGAAATGTACAAGTTCAGTGAATAAAAATAAAAATAAGCCACACCTGGGTTTCCTTTATTGGCTAAAATCTAAATGACTATAAGGTGACAGACAGGAGAATACAGAGGTTTTTAAAATTACGCTCTAAGAAGCCAGAACGCTTCTCAATTTCTTCTGCTGCCACTGATGGCCAGTAGGAACAGATCAGACTCACAAATGACAAATTTGCATCTTGACTTTAAAGCTATCAAAAACACAAACCTGAGCATGGAAGATAATCAGTCTCAGACCAGTTCGCATACATTATCAAAGGCATCATTATTTATGTGAGTTTAAGGCTTTGTAAGTCACAGATTAACCATCATTCTTTAAAGGTGTAATGATTGTCCAAATCCTCACATAAGCAGCGAATATTCTTTCAAAAAACAGGACACCAGATGATACAACCTTTAAGCAATATTTAAACATAGAGTCAAATTTACACATACCTATACCTATGGATGTTTGTTCAAATGTCTTCTTTCAAGTCACATGGACACCAGAGCCTTACGTCTGATGATTCATTTAGTTAGGTGAGTGTTTAGGGTTTTGTCCTGAAGGAGCAACATTTTCTTTTCTGTTTTTCTTTCTTTCAATTAATTTCAACTAAATTATACTTAGTTCTAGGGATGCACGATATAATCGGCCCCCTATCGGTATCGGCCTGTATCGGCCTTAAATGTGAATATCGGACATCGGCCACCCCACCGATATTTAACCCGATATTTGATCAGCTTCTGAGTTTCTAAAAAATACTACTTCTTCTTCTTCCTCAAAAACGTATTTTTTACAGACTAAAAAACTTCTAAAGACGAGGGAAAAAATATTGATCCATTAAAATATCCCAATATCTTCATATGCTGATATATTGCCATTTAAAAACACCATATCAATCTCTTTTACTAATGAAATATTGCTATATGTCATCGTTATGCTACGAAATCCCCCGAAAATTCACGAAATTTTGCCATATTTTTATATGTTGATATATTGACGCTGTATCGATCTATTTTACTAACAAAATCTCACAAGAATTTGCAAAATATCCCGAGAGTTTGTAACAGAACGATGAAATTTCACGAGATTTTAAAAGTAAAATAGATCGATACCGCGTTTTTAAAAATCGATTTGATATCAGCATATGAAAATATATTTGAGTATATTATATTTCAAAGTGTCAGAAATGGATAACAAAACTGCTATTTTCAATGACTACGTATTTTTGTCCAGCTTTAACATCGGTATCGATATCGGTTATCGGCTACATGAGTTTTAAAATATTGGCATATCGGATATCGGCCAAAATCCCAATATCGTGCATCCCTACTTAGTTCAGTTAAATTGATTTAGATCAGATGTAACATAATACATCATCTCAAAGCACAATGCATTTGCTCAACCACTGTCACATCCAAAACAGTTGGTTATTCTGAGCCAGTTTCTATATTTATGCTGCTATAGGTTTAGGCTGCTGGAGGACATAGGGACCCCTTTTCATCATTCTGCTTCATTTTAACTCTATTCTCCCAATCTGCAGCATTTATATGCTTCTCCCATATTTTTATGTTCTATCTGCTTTTTCTAATCATGTTGATTTAATCTGCTCCATTTTGGCTGTGATTCCATCCTGGATTAAAATATCGGCTGTGCTGCTGCCATCAACACCTTTGTTTACAGATGTCGGAGCTTGGCCTGTTTTCCAGTCTAGTCCTGTTTCTTTAATGCGACTAACAGGATGTGCTCCCTTTCGTCCTTTAATATGGGAGCCGGCTCGGAGCTCGTCTGACTGAACGTGCCTTTCACGGAAAGGGCTATTTAGTTTACGTACTTAACAGTTGCATTTTGTATCTATGCTTCTTTTTCTATGTCTGCTTCTGTCTCCTTGAACCCCAGTCATCCTAGGCAGATGGCCGCTCACACTGACCCTGGTTCTGCTGGAGGTTTCCTGTCAAAAGGGAGTTTTTCCTCTCCAGTGTCACCATGTGCATTCTTTGTGTGAGTGATTTGCTGAAGAAAAGTAAAAGCGAAATTCTTCACCAATGATCCTGGAGGAGCATGTCTTGCCATTTAATGACTCAATGCACACAACTGTTTTTCTCTGATAGAAACTTTTAACCAATTTGACTATATTGTCATTCGTTAGATACCCAGGGATGACGTTTTTTGAATAGTGTTTTCTATCTAAAGAGACTTAGCTGACTGCACAGTCTTTGACTTTGCAGGTTCCTTTCCTCATGGATGAGCATGTGGCCAAAATAGATATTCACTTAAATTGTGGTATTTACTCTACAGCAATTCCTCACAAAGATCATGCATGTAGCGACAGTGGAGAGGAAGAGGTTTCTTACACCTCCCTGCTGGATATGAAAGGAACCTCAAGCAGAACCAGATTCAGTCTGACCAGCCCTCTGCCAGGGACGAGTGTTTTAAAGGGGACAAAGAACACTACCGACTGTACAGCATGGCGATCATGGAGAGGGGCTGATTTACTGCCGGTGTATTCCCTAAAATAGATAAATAACAGAGAAGGAATACCTATGAAGCCTTCAGCTTCTCTTCAAATCAAAAGATGGTTAATGCTGAACCAACATGCATTAAAGTGAGCCTGAAGCTTCTTGATGCCTACAATAAGCTTATGCTGAATGTTGACATGGTTAAATACCCAATTCCATATTTGACTACGTGTACTGATATAGTACACGTATAGTTCCACAAGTTTCTTAAATTTTTGGGTCAGAAAAAAAAATCTAACTTGTGTAAAAATATTCCCGTATCACAGCTTATCAAAGCTGTTAATTATCAAAGCTTCTTTATAATCATTAGTAATCTCTACATAGAAGCCCTTCCAATTAACATGACATTGATATGAGAAGAATTACCAACAATGTTCACTTTTAATGGTCAGTTAAAATACTTCCTTTCAACGATTTGAAGTGTCCATTTATTATCTATATTACCGTAGAATGCTGTCATCGTGGGCAGCGCTTGGCACAGGGGCATCAGAGGGGCTGACAGGCAGGTCTACATCCGGCTGTCCAGGTTGAGCATAAACTGGCTTGGGCTCTACAAATTGAAAAAAAAAGGAAAATAAAAATCATGGTAACTCCTGCAGAGCGTGAAATCTCACACCAGTTATCCATAAAATATATACACTGCAAAAAATGGAAATCTAAATAAGTCACTTTTGCTCAAATTAAGTGCATTTCTTCTTGAATTGAGGATTTAAGTGAGACACTTTGCCAATGGAACAAGACAATTTACATTTAAAATAAGAAAAAAACAATTACTTTGTCTTATTTCAAGTGTATATTATCTAATTATCTTATTTTAGGAGTAAAAACACTCATTCCATTGGCAGATCATCCTTTTTACCTGCTCAAATTAAGGGTAAATACACTTAATTTAAGACATTTTTTACTTATTTCTAGATGTTTTTTGCAGTGTAAACAAAAAATGCATATGAACCACTGAGAATAAACACCAATGAAAAAAAAAACACGACAGTCCCTTAGTATCACTCAGGCGTTTGTGCAAACACAAACACACAAAGCACACAGTGTCCTTCGCTGGGAGGTCGAAGCCAAAGACAGCAGAGTGCTGCAGGCTAGAGAGAAACGTCAGACTCCATCAACTCATATGGTTTATTTTCACTTGGCTCCAGGCAAACTCAGCCAGACTCAGCAGGCGTCTGGGTCCAACTTATCAGGGTGGTTGTGTTTTTAAAAAGGGCAAAAAGAACTGGTTCTAAACCCAAATTAACTTCAATAAGACATTTTCTTTTATATCCAGCCCTTTGCTAATGGAAGGATGGATGGGAGAAAGATATCTGATCGATTTCCATTTCTTATACCCAACCAAGTTTTCAGGGTTACTGATCTCTGACCTGGGAGGGGTGGGAGCTGTTTCTCCTCTCTTGCAACAGCCGAATCCTTCGGTTTAGGGAGAGGAATATCCTCCACTAGCTTTGCTGGTGTTGAAGCAGACTTCGACATCCGTTCATCATCGCGACTTCTGTGACTGCAGATAGTAGAAAATAATTTATTTTTAAAGCACTAATCTCTGGAAAAGGAGAAGAATAACTCTGGAGCGTGAAGCTTTGCAGCCTGTGAAGTTCTCTCGTGTGCAGACTTACACGGGAGCAGAGCACAGGTGAAAGAACAGCATCTTATTCATGAAGGTCATTGCTTTGCCTGTCCACTTTTCTGCTGCTCTATTTTTAGCCTAGCTTATCTAAGGTGTCACAGTGAATTCTGTCCTCCAGATCGTCTTTAAAAAAAAACTTTCTTGGTTGTGAGGTCTAGTTTTAAATCATTTTATGTATTTTATTTATTTTTTTATTCTTAGATACATATTCTCTCTGAAAATACACAACTTGAGTTCCCACTTAGTAAAAAAATGGAACTACTGCTGTCTTTGTAAACCAAAGCTCTAGTAGTTGGATCACCTTTTAGTCATACTCTGTGACTATATACTAATGCTACGTTCAGACCGCAAGCAGCAGAGGCAGCAGAAGTAGCTAGTTTACATGCAAAGTCAATTCAAAAAGTTTATACCAGTCAAGGTAATTGTATTTAACTTAAATTAAGATAAAAAATAAGTTGTTTTTTTGCATAGTGGGAGCTAAAAATATGTAAACGAGCTTAAATGATCAGGAATCTAAAGGAGAAAACATAGTAGTCTTAGTAGTCCATATTCTTAAGTGAGCGTCAATAAGAGCAACGGGCAATATTTTTTTAATGATGCGTCTCTGTATTAGTGTAGATTATTTTTTTATTGGAACCCATAAAAGCATGATGTTATGGCATCTTTTCCCTAGCCTCGTGAGACCATCCTGATCTTGCGAGCTTTCAAGGTTTCACTCGTTAATCAGTCTGGAGACTCTCCGTTAGGGATGGGCGATATGTTATTGTGTGCGATATATCGTCAAAGAAATTCCTCATGGTAACAATTTGTCATCTCGCGATAAAAACGATAAACTCCCGCCGGTGACGTATACTGCACGTGACACACCTGCAGTCCAACTCACGTGCGAGCCATGCGCAAACAACAAGCATGGCGGAAGGTGGAGGAGACGTGCCCCAAGACCTGGTTCCTAAAAGAGGCTCCAGCTCCGTTATCTGGAACTGGTTTGGATTTAAAAAGTCTGATACGGAGCAGAAAGTCGTAATATGCAAAGTTTGCAGACAACCTGTGAAGACAAAGGACAGCGACACTACCAATTTATTTCACCACCTAAAACACAAACCGGAATATGATGCTAGTCAGAAGATGCGCTGCGATGCAGCAGAATCCTCGACTTCGAAAACCTCTGTTAAGAAACCGACTGCCACTCAAACAAAACTTGCCGATGCGTTTGCTCATTCCACACCATATGACAGCCAAAGCAAGCGATGGAAAGAGTTAACAGAGGCCGTTGCGTTTTGCCTGGCTAAAGATATGTTGCCGCTTTAATCACAGATTGAGAGGTATTTGAGTTTTTATATTCTTTTTAAATTTATTGAAATTATTTATTTTTATTTAATGTTTAGCATGCTGACAATCCTGCTAGTCTTATTTGTACATTCTTGCACAAAGAAGTATTTCAGGTTTTACATGTTTTTTGGAATTTATTGAAATTTCAATTTTAGTATTTAGATTTTTCTGTTTTTTTCCCTTTATTTATCATACCATTTGCACATTTTTGTAGCCCAACAGCAAAAAAGGTTGTTACAGGTTGATATAACATGTTAGAACTTGCACTGGTATTTATTTATCCAATATATGGCATGTTCCAGCAACTGGTCATTTACACATCTATTTATATTAGGAGGTGATTACTCATTAGTTTAAATTTGCAGTGAAATACTTTTAAGTTCTGTTTCTCAATTTATCAGGTTGTATTTACAGTTGCACTACTTTGCAACTTTTATTAGCCAAGTTATATTTGCTGTGTAGCATTTAAATAAATGTGAAATTTGTTCTCATATTTCAGGCTTGTTTGATTGGTTTGATACATTAGGCTGATATTGTGTTTTTGTTTTGTTTTTTATCGTCACTTATCGTTATCGTGGTAAAACCTAGAAATTATCGTGATCAATTTTTTAGTCCATATCGCCCATCCCTACTCTCCGTTAAAGAAAATTTGGAGCCGTTCACCAAAGGAACGTCCAATCAGCGTTGGCTTTGCGGCGGGTTGAGGTGTGACGCAACGAGAAGCGCGACAGTTCAGTCTAAAGAACATGGCGGCTTCAGCCGATGAAACTAGCGTTAGCGTGGCTATCGAGCAAGTTTTATCGGAATTACAGAGTATTTCTTCACTGAAAGAAGAGCAAAACACTGCTCTGGAGGCTTTTCTCAGAGGAAAAGATGTTTATGCTCTTCTCCGGACTAATTAAGGCAAGAGTAGCCTGGCTTGTGGTTGTGTTTTCGTCGTCGCTCTGTTAGTACGTCATATGCTTTGTTGATCTGATTGGTTTATTTGGCCCGTCTATCACCAACATAGGCCAATCAGCTAACCAGTATTTTCTCCCCTTCCAAAAATTACTTCAACGGAAGGTTTCCAGATGGATATGCGGAGCAAATCCATCTGGCGGAGTCAGGTTATCTATTACATGCACTGGGACAAAAAAACTAAATGTTTTCACCTTAAATATTAATCATCTAAAGAACAAGATGGTTAAATAAAAGTCGACTTTTCTACTTTTCAGCTTTCACAGTATGGAGCTAGATCGGTCTCAATTTTCACAAATTAACATATGTGATCTATAAATGTATAGAACAAGATTTGCCAAAGTATTTCTGGTCCATAAACAATTATAAATAAAATTACACGCTGTGTGTGTGTGGATCTTGTCCTGTGCATGTATGAATCACATATGTGTATTTGTGAAAATTGAGACCGATCTAACTCCATATCACAGATTTTCATTTTCTGGTAAAATCCAGAATATTCCCGACTGATTTAATTCAAACCACCTTTACATTTATCAATCAAACACGGCGGAATAGATTTTTACCTGCCATTGCTGATTTGTTGTGGTGAATGTCGGGAGTGGTCTGAGGGTTCGGACCTCCTGTCCGGGGAGCGGGAGCGGCTGCTACGGTGTCTGTCGTGTGATCGGTTGGAATGATCGGATGCCATAGAATGGATGTCTGAAATGTCTGGTGAAAGAAAAGTCACGTGTTCAGAGAACACCATCATGTAGGAATTACTCCACGCTCCTTTCAGCGGAATACTCCACACTCACCATCTCTGTCGGAGGCGTTAGCTGAAGGAATGCTGTCATCGAGGTCAGGGATGTTGAGGAGGGTCGCCCTGTCGTCTCTCTGAACAACCATTTTTAGTTTGCCCTTTGACCTTTCAATCAGTTTCTTAGCGTCTATCAAGGAGAGGTTCTCTGTCACTGTGCCATTAATCTGAGACAAGCCAAAGAAGAAGATATCAGCTCTAGGAAAACAGTCACCCGATCAAAATGCAGTTTTTACTAATTATTGACCTTTAATACTTAAACCTTCAATAAAGAAAAACTATGTATTAAATAAATAAAAAAATGCCAGGTTATACATAGAGCTGTAAAAACAAACGTTTAGGTGTGTAAAAGTTATTTTTTGTGCTACAGCCAACCATTAAATCATTGAAAATAGTGATTTTAAAGAATGCAGATGTACAATTTACAGACAAATAGTGAAAATAAGTGATTATTTAAAGAACAGAGGTAAAATGCAATATCTTTCGATGAGAACGAACCTAAATCAAGGAAAATTGATGTGTTGTGATGCAGCATTGGGGAGGAAAACATTCTGAATAAGATAAACAGTTTCTGTTGTCCATAATAAAACACGGTAGGAGATTTTGCTTAAATCTCCGTACCTTCAGTACCACGTCCCCCTCCTGGATGTTGCCATCCCTGGCGGCCAGGCTCTCGGGGGAGATGTCCTTGACAAAGATGTGGCTGGCCAGGCGCAGGCCATATTCTGCTTACAGAGTGAACGACAGCAACAAAGAGCATGTTAGCACAGAGAGTTCACAGGACAGCGGGACCACACCAAAAGCTCTGCTGACAGCTGCTGCTCCCGCTGGGATTAACATTAAAGAAGATTAATTGCTCTTTTACTTATTTACTTGAGTTTACTCAGATTTTGCTAAGGCTGGCAACTTCTATTTACTCTGGCTCTCACCCAGAGCTGATTTGGAAGATTTACTTGGCTAAGGTCGGGTGCATGAAACGGCAATGCCCCGTTATTCATTTCTATCCCCGACTTTTCGAGCCTCACCTTCATTTTTGCGGGATTTGACGAGCGTGACCTTGGCGGGGCGAGGGGGGAGGTTGTGCGAGCGGCGGTCCGAGCGCGGGGACATGCTTCTCTCTCGTGACCCGCTGCGCTCGCGGTCCCTTCGTCCGCTGCTCCGACCGCTGCGTCTGCCCATGGCCCCGCCTATGCCACTGTAAGCACCACTGCGCCCGCTCCGCGTCTCGTATATTTCTTCGTCGTAGCTGTCCTCCTCTTCGTCGTGTTCCGACATCGTTTCTCTCTCCCCCAGCCGGCCCATGGGAACGTGCACCTTCCTCTTCCGTCTGATTGTCTGACAAAAGAAATGAGGATCAGGATCAAGATGACTAACATTTCATTTCAATAAATCAGTTAATTAGTTCCCTAGACTTTGCTTTTCTTTGCTTTCCTAAAAGAAAAATGTCTGTCTAGTAAACATTTCACGACCCTTTGTGACACTCACGATTTTGGCAATTTTCCCACTTTTGCGAAGCTGCTGGACAGCGTACGCATGCTCCACATTGTCCATGGACACAGCATTGACCATAACCACTCTGTCATTTTCCCTACAGGCAAAAAAGTAGAAAGAACAGACAGACTGGAGTCTCTCTGAAGCATGTCTAATGTACTAATTATTCATGGGGAGTAACTCAAAGCTAAAACACATAATTTGATCCAAGAACAGAATCTTACTGCAGCAGGCCTTCTGCAGGGCCTCCTTTCAGCACGTCTGAGATAACGATGGAGGTCTCGCCGCTCTGAAAATGAGGGTTATCCCGACCTCCTGATATGGCTATCCCAAATCCGAACCCTGGTGCCTGCACACAGAGAAAAAACATAAAACCGTTCTAAGATTTCTATAATAATAATAATAATAATAATAATAATAAAGACTGACATGTTATCTACTGTTGCTTTCCATACACACTCATCAGGGCTAAAATTAGACAGTAACCAATCTGTGAATTTAATATTTACAGTTATGTTTAACAACTAAAAAAAAGCTTTGTCCACATTTTCTTTTTAAATTGTTAATAAAGAAAATTATATAAAATATTTATTTTGATAAATACTAAAATAGAATAGGGGTAGAAATCAATAGGATAAATGATCCATTTTTAGAGGTAATTTTAAAAAAAGATGTTGAATTATGTTAAATAGTAAAATAAAGAAACTTAAAAAAAATGATAATATTATTGAAAGATTGTAGTTTTGTGACTTTGAATAGAACTGTAGTGTGTTTTATTGCAACATTTTATTTACTGCAGATGACCTCGTTTGTTCAGCAGTTGGAAAGCTGAAACATTTTGATTTGTTCCTATTTTTTGGCTAACGTTAGCCCTGGCTGCTGCAGACGGGCTAACGTTAGCCCTGGCTGCTGCAGACGGGCTAACGTTAGCCCTGGCTGCTGCAGACGGACTAACGTTAGCCCTGGCTGCTGCAGACGGACTAACGTTAGCCCGTTTTCATTTGATTTGTGTTTATCTGACTGTGTTTATTATTATTCCCCCACTAAATGAAAAAAGTAAGAATCAGTACATTTTTCAGTACACTTCTGTTCCAATTGAGCCATATTTATGCTGGCTGCTCCCAATCTCTTTAAGTCCACACTTTCCTGCGTTCTTCTCAAAAACATACTTTGGGAGAACACCAGTCTATACTCACATTCTCGTGAATTGAGAAACCAAATTGAGAAATCAATCTTAAGAGTAAGTGTGCAGGAAATATCTTATCTGGGATAAAGACAAAAAGGAATAAACTGGTCTTCACTGGGTTAAGTCTGGAGTAAGTCCAGCTGTTCAACACAAAACTATAAAGCACTTTTTGCTTCTTTCTGCTGACATCTTTATACTGATTATGAAGGATTTTCTAACAAGAGGAAGAGGAAAGTCAACAGTGGACACCGGCTGAAGGTCAGCATTAAAGCAACCTGAGCTCTTGAACACCTTAGCAGATCCACAGGCTGATGCAGCTTTAATGCAGTAATAGGGACAAGGAGACCCTACACTACACAGTACATGGACATACACTATATTGCCAAAAGTATTTGCTCACCCATCCAAATTATTGGAATCAGGTGTTCCAATCACTTCCATGGCCACAGGTGTATAAATTCAAGCACCTAGGCATGCAGACTGTTTTTACAAACATTTGTGAAAGAATGGGTCGCTCTCAGGAGCTCAGTAAATTCCAGCGTGGAACTGTGATAGGATGCCACCTGTGCAACAAATCCAGTCGTGAAATTTCCTCGCTCCTAAATATTCCACAGTCAACTGTCAGCTGTATTATAAGAAAATGGAAGTGTTTGGGAACGACAGCAACTCAGCCACGAAGTGGTAGGCCACGTAAACTGACGGAGCGGGGTCAGCGGATGCTGACGCGCATAGTGCGAAGAGGTCGCCAACTTTCTGCAGAGTCAATCACTACAGACCTCCAAACTTCATGTGGCCTTCAGATTAGCTCAAGAACAGTGCGCAGAGAGCTTCATGGAATGGGTTTCCATGGTCGAGCAGCTGCATCCAAGCCATACATCACCAAGTGCAATGCAAAGCGTCGGATGCGGTGGTGTAAAGCACGCCGCCACTGGACTCTAGAGCAGTGGAGACGCGTTCTCTGGAGTGACGAATCGCGCTTCTCCATCTGGCAATCTGATGGACGGGTCTGGGTTTGGCGGTTGCCAGGAGAACGGTACTTGTCTGACTGCATTGTGCCAAGTGTAAAGTTTGGTGGAGGGGGGATTATGGTGTGGGGTTGTTTTTCAGGAGCTGGGCTTGGCCCCTTAGTTCCAGTGAAAGGAACTCTGAATGCTTCAGCATACCAAGACATTTTGGACAATTCCATGCTCCCAACTTTGTGGGAACAGTTTGGAGCTGGCCCCTTCCTCTTCCAACATGACTGTGCACCAGTGCACAAAGCAAGGTCCATAAAGACATGGATGACAGAGTCTGGTGTGGATGAACTTGACTGGCCTGCACAGAGTCCTGACCTCAACCCGATAGAACACCTTTGGGATGAATTAGAGCGGAGACTGAGAGCCAGGCCTTCTCGTCCAACATCAGTGTGCGACCTCACAAATGCGCTTCTGGAAGAATGGTCAAAAATTCCCATAAACACACTCCTAAACCTTGTGGACAGCCTTCCCAGAAGAGTTGAAGCTGTTCTAGCTGCAAAGGGTGGACCGACGTCATATTGAACCCTATGGATTAGGAACGGGATGTCACTTAAGCTCATATGTGAGTCAAGGCAGGTGAGCAAATACTTTTGGCAATATAGTGTATGTTCACTGAACTAACATTGCTCCATTAAAATACCATGGTCTTATGTAACATTATTATTTTCTAAAAGCTGAAGTTTGGTTTCTGTTATGAGTACGGATGGGGATCAAAACCCGGTTCCATCAAGGACCCGGTTCCACTTTTTTCAAAACCCGAAAATCAATAACGTTTGGGCTTATCGATACCACTATCGAGTCTGGTCGTTTTTTTTTTTTTTCTCCCGGAGGTCCTGTAACATATTGTGTGTCCCTCGAGTCGCGTCACAGCATTTAAATCTAATCAATCCAATCACTGCAGCGTGTCCACCAATGTTTTGGAATGAAATTGTAAGCAAAAAGATATTAAAAGTAAAACAATTGAAGTCTGGCATTTAACTTCGCTCACGACTCGAGAATGGCTGAACAGAAAAGACTCCTCCTCCTCCTGCAGCTGCCACAGTCGGGCCCGTCTTCATCATCCACTCAGAGTACCACTGCTCAGCGCGCACACAGACTCTGTAGCTTGTCCGGTCAGTTAAAAATAGTAATTGTGAAATCCGTCTTGTAATCGGAAGCATACAAGCTAGTTAGCTTGAAAAGTAAATAAAGTTTCAGACGTGCTGCGTGATGATGTGTTCAGATTGGCTCAGTAAAACGACAATTAGGTTATCATGATGCGTTCATGTGTAACGTAAAGAAAACGGGAAATTGAGTTTTTGGCGAGAAACACGAGTAATACAGTTGTATATTGCTCTAATTATTTTAGAATATATAATTAAACTACTGATGCCAACATTTATTAAAAATTACATTTAATTTAAAATACAATTATTTATTTGTTAAACATTTTCCTAATCTCTAAAAACATGATGAAAAGTGACAGTAGACAATAAATTAACCAACAATTGTAAAAATATATTCTAGTTAGTTTTATGTCATTTCGAAGTGGCCTATTACATTAGCCATGTTTATTGAAGGCTAGAAACGCTTTTGTTATGCTCACTTGTTAAGCAATAAAAGCAATACCAGTTCTGTTAAAAAAAATTGTTGCATCGTCTTTCCACCAAATAACAGAAAAGTATCGATAGTGGTATCGATAAAGACTCGGATAGATAAGGAGTATCGATAAAGGTATCGATATCAATAAATATTAACGATCCCCATCCCTAGTTTTGAGACAGAGTCTAGATTAATGGAATAAATATCAGTTTAGTTTATTTCAATATTGCAAATTCACATGTCCTCTCAAGGCACTTCGTTCCAGTCAGATTGATTCAAAGTTTTCTATCTAAGGAAAACCAGCTGATTGCATCGACTCATTGACTCTTCAGCAATCCATCACACTAAGCATGCTTGTAGCGACAGTGGAGAGGAAGAACCCCCTGTTAACAGCAGAACCAGGCTCAGTGTGAGCGGCCATCTGCTGAGGCCCACTGGGGTTCAAGGAGACAGAAGCAGACGTAGAAAAAGAAGCATAGATACAAAAGGCAACTGTCAATCAGCTACACGGGCCGCCCCGTTTTTACCAGATTTCCAGAAATAAAAACTAAAAATATTTCACTTTGTGTGTAATAAATATATATCACGTGTTTTACTCTGTATTGTATGCTAGTCACCCTGTCACTTTTTGTTCTGAGTTTCATTTAAAATGGTTAAAATAGCTGATTTAGTGAAGCGGGGCATACACTGTCCAATTTTTTGTGCAATCGTTGCACTCAGCTGTCGTACAGTGTGAGCTCACAGATCACCATGTTTGTTCTTTCACTGTGCGACCCGACGCTCTGATGCGATCTACCTGCTCACACTGTACGTCTAAAAACCAGGTGGGACTCAGCTCCGCAGTAAGATGGCTGTACTCGGACACGTCTATCCGGAAAATAAAAGAGTATAAGAGGAACATGAAGCTCACTAGAGTGAAACGCGCTGCCTTGGATATTTGGGCGATTTTGTGCTGAAAGACCTAAAAAGAAAAGGAGACGACGTGTTTGGACAAAGACATGGCTGAGCAAACATGGCTACTACGGTCTGTCAGTTTGACAGAAAGAACTCCATTTCACTCATTGCCCCCCCGCCATGATTCTGTGATTTCATCTGAGAGGAAGAAGAAGAAGAAGAAGAATCTTTGTTTGCGCACTGAGCGATTTGCCAACGACTGATAATCAAAAATGTTTCATTTTTTCCCGAACTTACAATTCCTGATGGAGAGGTGGGTCGTTAGAGGCTGATCGCCCCTCGTTACCCCCTGTAACACGACACATGGTCAGGCTGAAAATTGCAACTGGAAAGTCGTCCCGAAAAGGGCAAAAAATCGTACAGTAAATGCTCGGCTTTATTCCACTAATTGCAAATTTTTTTGTGTCAAACCTTCTTTCATTTCAATGGCAGAGCATATCAACTAATTTTAAAACCATGTTTATCAGCTTGGGATTTAGTTGCACTTTAATTTCATGTAAACTGGGAACAAAAAGCTAAAGAAAATGTCCTTAAATATTCATCATCTAAAAAACAAGATGCTTAACCTCTTACACCCTAAGGGGGTATAAATAAATTTCTGCCTGACAAAAACACACAAAAGTAAATAACTTATAGCCTCACAGCTATTAGATTTAAGAAGAAACTTTTGGTACGTCTGTAAAGGTAAGATGTCATAGAATGGTTTTCTGGTGTCAGCACCATTGTAGCTTTGACCCTGCCTGAAATATTAGAGACAAAATACAAAATATTTTGCATTTTTTGAACCTCGCCAAAATTTTCTTTGAAATAAACATTGCAAAACACTACCAAAATATTATTTATAGCACAAAAAAGTAGTACAGACTTTCAAATCTAAATGTTGTGTAAAAATATACAAAATTTGGACTCAATCAGATGAATCATATTTATTTTAGAATGGTATTAGTGAGAAATTTCTTAGGCGGAGAGGCCATTTTGGCACATTTATCCATAAATGTCACCAAACTGTGCCAAATGTGTTTTTTACATCAATACTGGTGGTTTGGTAAAATTACGGTCACGTAGCAGCTGGACCCGCCGGTGGGTCCGTAGGGTTCAAGGGGTTAAATAGTCAAGTCGACTTCTCTACTTTTCAGCTTTCATAGTATGGAGCTAGATTGGTCCCAATTTTCACAAATAAACATATGTGATGTATAAATGCACAGAACAAGATCCGCCAAAGTATTTCTGGTCCATAAACAATTATTAATGTCATGTTAACGCTGAACAAAATAATGCAACCGCTTTTGGCATTTACTTAATCCTATTTAGTTATTTTAACAGAATTGTTTTTTGTCCTACCCTTAAACATGAAACAATTGTGTTAAAGTAACTAAATATGATTAAGTAAATGCCAAAAACGGTTGCATTATTTTTTTCAGTGACAAAAGAATAACTGGAATAGTTTTTAAAAGTTGTTTCTATTCATATTTTATTTTCATGAAACAAAACAGACCAGAAAAAAAAACTGTTAAATTTGTTTTCATTAGCTTTCAGTTGAGGATTGTTTTAATTTACAGAAAGACGGTCTGAAAAGGTTGATCTGCGAGTCATTATGTGTTTTACTTGATGAGTTGAGTTCCTGAAATAAAGGAAAGTTTCAACGGTACTCTAATTTATTGACACACACTTTTAAATATCCTTACAAATTGTGATATGGGGTATAAATAGGGAGATAAAAGCTGGTCTGGAGGAAAGGGTGAGACGGTGCTCTAGCGGCTCAGACAAAGATGGATGCTAAGAGCAGAGTGAGGATAACAAATACCTACCCTGTGTAGTGTAACTGTGTGCTGTTCCCAAATGACTGTCTCCTCCATCGCTGCACTCTGGAAGACAAAAGATCAACATAAAAGTTCAAATGCAATTTACAACAAAGGGGTAAAAAGCTGAAAACGGTTTTGGCAAAACTGTTAACATGATCAAAGAAGGACAAAAAACAAGAGTGTGTATTGGAACAATTTTCTTTCATTTCAATATGTGGTATATTATGAAACACATTCAAAATGCACAGATGTGTTCCCTTATTTGACCGATCTTTCAGGCCAGGCTTGACCAGAAAGCAACAAGCTCACAAACGGTCGACTATTGAAAAGGTTTGTTGTTGTTCTCTAATGTCTAACTTCCTCTGTAACAGAGGTTTCCGATAAGCGGGCTGTGGTACGGATCCAGACCCACCTGCTGGCTAATCTGGAACAAACCTGATTTAAAACATTTATAAATTACTGCCTGTTGTCTGACGACAGTGTCTAATTTCACTTGCGCCTCTTCTCCTGTTAATACGGTAAAGCCCTGGGGAGCGTCCGGCTCCAGGCTGCACGTGATCCAAATGAGCCAATGAGCTGTCAGTCTGGGTTGCTGCTGCTGCTACTTTTAGACACAGCAGGCAAACCTGTGGCAAGCCGGGCGATGGGAAAGAAGGAGAAGACCATGAGAAAAAGAGAGCAGAGAAAGCGTGGACTGCTGGAAGAACTGCGGTGAACTGGTGAAAGAAAAGTGAAATGGCGTGCTCAAAGATGACCCTGCACATTTAGAGGATGTTTGGCTCAACCTGCTGCTGTGAAGCAGGATTCTCCACCATGAACAGAATCAACAATAAATCTGGATCCAGGCTCAAAATGAGCTCCTTGATATGTGCTTGAGAATGGCTTAGTCTGCGGTTAAACCCAGGTTTAAAGCCTTGCAGGGCAGCCTAAAGCCCACTGCCAACATTAAGACAGAAAAAAGAAAGAAAATAACAAACAATCAGTTCAGGTGTTTAATAAAAGAGTGAGTCAGGAAATTGTCTATAAACCAAACTGAACGATTGTTGTTCTCCACTCCAAAAAACACTTTAGATTTTAAAATGGAAATTTTTAAAAACATTTTAGAGTTAATGTATGACATGGATGCATAAATCAGTGTTAAATTCTGTTTAAAGTAACAGATTATAATAAAAATGTCTCCAGACCTTTACTGGTTAATGATTTTTTTTGTTGTTGAAAAGGCTGAATTGGTTACCCCTGCTCTATAACCTCAGAAAAAGTAAACATCTCTAGCAAATAATACATAAAAATTAAACGTCTTCAATCTGATCTGATCATTTCAATAAAAAACCCAAAAACAAACATATAAACAGCCATAGTTTACAACATGTCATAAAAATAATGCATTAAGTTCAGCTTAAAGCATCCCTAGTTCATTAAGTACAGGCCTCGCTTTGGATCACATGAAATGTGATCAGCGTTCCACCTTATTACACATCATTCAGTGAGATTCTCCTTCAGGCCAAACAAACTGTAGTTCAGCTGTTGCAACATCTGAAACACAAGTTTAAAGCAGACAACACGTCTCACGGCTCCTCCTGATTCTCTCTGCCTCTCATTACGCGCCTACAACTCTACCTCACATGTAACCTTTCAGAGCCAACTGTGTATTTAGAAACTGTTCCGATAATAATAATTCATTTATCCCCCAAAAAGGACTGCATGTACTTCATGGAAAATCGTTGCTATGGGGACTGTAATAAAAAGGAGCCAATCAAACAGGGATCTACTGAACTAAACTGCTTGATTTTTGGTAAACAATTAAAAGTTATACTTTAATAAAACAAGATTTCTGGTTGAAGTAACATCATTTTAGGACTTTTTTAAAAAGACGTTAAAAAATGTTGCTTGTGCAGTTTGTTTTTAAGGTTATAAATTAAAGGAAAAGTCTAGTCATATGCAGAATTCAAACTTCTGAAAGTACTATAGATATGAAATTATTCCATCCTGTTCAATAAAGGATAAGATTTTTAATTCAGAGTAATTTTCATGTGAATGTGCTTCTCTGGAGGCATCCATGTTTGTCAAAGAACACTACTGCCACCTACTGGTTAGTGACGTCACGGTGCGGTATCGGCTGTTGATCAAGTCCCAGTGCTGTATCTGGTGTTTGTCACAACGCGCTATTATCCAAGTCATCTTGAAAACATTCTTCTTCCAAATGTTGGCTACATATTACGGGTTTTTTCTCTGGCCAGAAGTTCGATGGCAAATCCTCCCTCTTCAAGTTGGCGATCCAACGACCAACCCGTCCGTGGAGGATCAGGAATCAGAAAGGTGGAATAACTCTTTTTTTCTCTTTTACCCGATGTATTCCAGCATCCAGCTGCCATGCACGTGGGCATTGCCAGTTTCACTATAGCTCTGGTGAATTTCAATGGTGAAGTCCTCTGGAAATCTTCAATAATTGTTGTTGATTGCAGATGTGTCTAGTAGTTCCCATTGATTTAGCTTGGAAAGCGGGGAGAATGGCGCTAGGCTTACCGCACCGTGACATCACTGCTGGAAGATGGCAGGAGGGAGGGGTTACTATATTTGGGCAAAAATGGCCGCTCCCAGACTCAGTGATCGCAACGAAAATTTTTATTATCTTTTTACTGATTAAAGCTATATTCATTCAATCATTGCTAACGTATTAGTTTTAGGTATAAATAATGATCCATGTTTTTTCCTTACTGACCAGACTTTTCCTTTGAAAGATAAGTTAGTGATTCCTGTTCACAGAGCAGTAACTACATCTGTCTTCATGCAGTAGAAGCTGCATCGGTGCCGTTCTTAATTTGGCGTCTGACTTTTTTTTTTTTTATCAGAAAGCAAACTTGCACAGCTCCAACACACTGCTGGCAACAGCCATTAAATGACTGTTTCTAAACATACCACACACAGCAGCTCAGTGTTGGCAGATCTCCCACTGCGTCTATAAAACATCCAGAGTACGAGCTTCAGTGTTTAACATTAAAATCACAAACAACAATTACTAGAAAACCAAAAGAGAGCACCACACCACATAATGGAGCTATGCTCAGGCAGCATCAAAAAGGAAAAAAAAATCCAAAGTTACTCAGTTGGTAAAACTTTATTGTAATTAAATATCCACTGCATGAGGATGAATGTTTAAACAATCAACAGTTGCAGAGAAAGCATTATTAGGTCAATCCCTCTGAGGCAAACCTCATCTCACATCACATGCTCTAATTTGTTCATCCTGCAACATTAATCTGTCAGATTGAGCCTTTTAGAAAAACTATGTAAAACAAAACAACAAAAAATAACAAGATTTGATTTTGTGAAACAATATGTGATGATTCCGTAAAAAAAAGAAAATTCACTGGACTTGGTTTCCAAGATTTGAAGACGTTTCGCTACCTCTCCAGGAAGCTTTCTCAATTCAAATGTCTGGATCCGCAGTGAGTTTGAGTCTGTTTTTGAACTTTTATGGAATGACTATGACCTGGATGACTGAGAATCTTCATCAACAATGTGTGATGATGCATACGGTGATTAGTAGTAAATGAAGGACAGTGAAAGTCCATCTGAATGGCCAAATATGTTATTAGCAAGCAGTCTAAATGCATCATATATGAAATAAAACAAATATGTGCATGTAAAGCAGACTCTCAGCATTGAACACATTTCTGTTTTATATGAAAAGAGATTATAATATTTAATGCATCAAGGCACAAACTGAATTGAATAGAAACAAAAATAAACCAGTTCCTTTAAGTTTAGAGATAGTTAATAGATATAGACAGTAGGGGTGGAACGGGTCACAAAATCCACGGTTCGGTTCAGTTCACGGTTTCGTGGTCACGGTTTTCGGTTCGGTTCGGTATATGTTGATTGTTAGCCTGACATGTTGGTCATGTTGATGTTAGCATAAACAAAACGTGTTGCACAATGCTTGCACACTGTTGCACTTTTATCCACCACTTTCTTTCTGCCGTCATCGTAGGTCACTCTAAATGCAAAGTGGTCCCATACAGCAGACCTATAAAGTGCTGCTGGCGCGTCTTCCAGCTCCTGTTCTTTCCCACTCGCCATACCCACACAATTCTCCACAACAACTGATTTTTTCCCCTGCTACACTCGGCTACGCTGCGTCGCTTCTTCTTCTTGTTTACTACTGGTGGTTGGCTTTGGTCGCAGTACCGCCACCTTCTGCTCTGGAGTGTAAACGCTTCGCCTATGAGAGAAAGGAGCAGCGCATGAACCGAACGAAACACACGCGAACCGAACCGAGACAGTCGAACCGAACGGTTCGGACGGTTCTCATAAACCGTTCCATCTCTAATAGACAGATAGATAGAAAAGACATGCTTAGTGTTAATCTATATTCCAGGAATAAGAAAAACAAAAAAATAGGCCATTGATTTTCTGTCTGATTGGTGCATATCTACCTGTGAGGGATTGCTGAAGAGTCAATGAGTCGATGCAATCAGCTGGTTTTCCTTAGATAGAAAACTTTGAATCAATCTGACTGGATGATCTGGTGAACTGGAAAGTGACCCTGAGATGACATGATGTGAATTGGAGCTATAGAAATAAACTGAATAGAATGGAATTAAGCCTCTTCTTAATGTTTTCTATTGGAAGCCCATAATATTATAAGGATAGCTTGAGATATATACATACACCCACACAGAGTGTATATTTAAAGGGCTGCATCTGAAAATGAGAAAATAAGTTTAAAAATGACAGCAAAAAGCTGAGAGTGATTGTGATCGGTTTGTTTGTTTGACCCAATGGGCCTCCTTCAACACATCATCTCTGCATCTGTTTGGACCTGTCCACCAAATGCCAAACACCAGCTGGCATCTAGGAACACAGGCAGCTGAGTAAATTGCCAAAAGTGTCCTCAGACATTCTCAGCTTGGCAGCAGCAACCGGGGACCCGGAAAGCAGATGAAGGTGGAATAAATACAAAGCAGGGGACGGATAGTTATGCAAGACGACTCTTCTTTAAAACTGAATGGGTTGCAATTTAGAAAAGCTTTAAAAAGAAACGTATCGTTTGGTGATCATTT